TAACATTAGTACTACCGGTTGAAATGGATCTTTCTCGAGTGTTTTTCTTTTCGTTTATTTTGGGCGATGCGTTGTTCTACAAGATTGGTGGGCGTTACTTGATACGTGGCAAATTTTTATGTGAACTTGGGTGAACTTTTTTCTTTGCCCAACAACGAAGAAAGCTTTGAGAAAACACTCGGTTGGCACGATAAAAAACGATGGTGACATAGAAACCCAATTGCAACCGAATACAGATTCGTTTGGTGAACTTTCCTGTTCAATGGGAAGCACAGGAGATAGAGAAAAAGGTTATGGGAAAGTTTTACGAAAAACGTGGCTAACGCGTTTAAAAAGATTAGCGAAGTAGCGCAATTAACTTCATTTGAAACTAACAACGTAGTAAATATAATAAAGTTAAGAGCGGCATAAAGAAAGAAACGAAAAACAGAAAGTTACTGAACTTGGCGTCATAAATTCGAAAAAACTATTGTTTGGCTATAAGTTACAAGAAGTCGTAAAAGACAAGAAATCAAAATTAGAGATAAAACATGAACAAATTAAAAAAATCATAAAAGTTGATGAATACAAAGAAGACAAAAAAGACGGTAAGTTAAAAGAAGTTGTAAATAATGGTAAATTAAAATATGATACACAACTAAGGAAAGTGACCATAAATAAGTTAACAAAAGATTTTGAAGGTGTTAAACAAAACAAAAAAGAAGAGACAGGCGATAAATTTAAAGAAAACCTACATGATGTTAAAGTAAATAAAAAGATAAATGTTGATAAGTTACAAGAAGGCATACAAGATAATAAGTTAGAAAAAAAATATAAAAGTTGATAAGTTAAAAAAAAAGGTGTAACAAATGATAATTTAAAAGAAGATAACGTGTAAAGGATGAACTATTAAAAAAAGTTGTAAAAGAAGAGAAGAAAGATTTAAAATTTAAAGAAAACTTACAAGATGATAATTCAAAAAAAGACGCAGAAGACGATAAACCAAACAAAAATAGATACAAAAGATAAAAAAAATTGAAAGAAAACAAGAAAGGCGACAATTTACATTCGAATGCAGGCACGGAAAGCAGCGGTGGGAGGCTCCGGCAAAAAGAACAATAATTTATATAATTATACACATATTATTATACAATATAATATATTATTCCAGTGCTGGCCAACCTAACCGAAACCGGATCGCAAAATATTTGTTGATGAGTCGCTGTTGGTAAACTAATTATAATATCTTATTTACTAATCAAAGGAAAGCGTTAGCCTGCCCGACAAAAAGTAAATTTGTGGGTGGCCATAACGAAAAATCGGCCACAAATACTATCCGATTCACACTCCATCAGGAATAATAGTTGATAATCGTGTTATCATTCCATATCAATCATATATTTGAACCATGAAACAATCAAAAAATCATGTAGGTACTACATACTATAACACAAATAAAAGTGTTGTTTGTGTTTTTCTTAAAACTTTTGATAATTGCATTGTTCGAAACTGGTCGAATGGTAAAATTTTTGATTATTTCACCTGAAAAAATATCCTGATTTTGCTTGAATATAAAAATATGATTATTTTCAGTTATCTTTTGCTCACGTTTACTTGAGTCAATCACTCCAACTCGTTATGTTTATTATTATTACTTTCGAAAGTTTAATTATCTGTTGTATAAATTTAGAAAATTATGATTTTTTTTCAATATAAGATCCGTGATTTATCTGGTTAGCAACATGATAAAGTAACACACGGGAATAATAAATTATAAACTAATTAATTGATTAAATTCATTAACAATAATATTTTGTTCAACTGTTTATTATGCATTTAAGACGTTAAACATTTTTTTAAGTACAAATATTCGTACAAAACCTAATATAATGTATTATATAGTAAGTATATAATAAAGCTGGTACGATATTATAACATTTAATATACGTTAATGTACATACAATGACAACGTCCGTAATTTTGAGCTGCACATCATAAATTACTCGAATCAGTTTTTTAATGAAATCAACGGCTAACAAAAACAAGTGGACGGTCATAATAATAATTAGACGGACAACGAAAACAATGATAAAAATCACCGCGGGCTTAGAAAGATAAAACATACATAAATTTAAGTCATTTTTTACAAGCTCGGGTTTGTTGTAAGTAATATGTAATATAATATGATAATTTATTGTGTTAAACTAAAACCGTATTCGGTAATTGATGTAATTATTTAAATTCTACAAAATTCACTAAAATCAAACACGCTTAACATTAACTATCATAGTCAAGATACAGATTTCAATACAATATTAAAGTTACAAAAAAAAAAATTCTCAAATAGTCAGCTTAAAAAAAAAAAAGGATCACGTTCACATTTAAAATAAAATACATAACATAGACTGATATTGTGGGAGTGCTTAAGTATACATTTAAGGGGCGGACTAGACAGCAGCCCAGACCGATGATTATATACACACACACAAAACGTTTCTTGTTAGTGTAAATAAATGCTGGACAAATTATTCGTGTAATTTTGATAGTCATAATATCCCACACAGCGACATAGTGTAATATATTTCAATTAAAACTATATTAATAAAGCGAATGTTTCAATCATTTTTTAACTGAAAACCGCAAAGTAAACATATTTTAGAAAATACTTCAGTTACAATTAATTTTCTGTTCGAATCGCCGTGGGGGTAATTGTAAAAACAAATCTGCATATTAATTCTAAAATTGAAACTTTTTAATGTACTCACAAGTACAATAACACACTAATGCAATAGTAATAATTGTACAGTTAGAATTGTTCGGTTGTTGTATGTTAAATTATAAATTTTTCGCAACAACAAAATGAGTAATAATTATTAGTTTAAAAATTCCAAATATATTTTACTGGAAAACGTCAATTTTTATGTTCAAAAATTATTTCTTATCAATATCAAAACGATAACATTAAACCGTTATCACTATAATATAGCTACTTTTTTCACTTCTATACATTTTTTAACTAGAAAAACAAAAATTTGGCATACTAATTTCGCTATGCGCAATTTTTTGTTGGTTTTTATACCAAAAATTAATGACTATTTTAAATTCAACATCTCATATACTTGTATACCTAGTCCCTCTACCTGTAATATTGTATTGAATAAAATCGAATATGAGACGTTATAGTCGTGATAAAATTAGTACTTCAACAAACTACTGTTTCGCTAGCACAACTTCCAACACAACCTTTCAGTATTATTTGAGTACTGCGAACGTGCAGTTTGATTATAAAATATCCCAGCAATGCTGTACAACCGTTAACTTTAATAATAATAATCATTAGCTAGGTACTAATTAAACTATTATTAGTTTTTAGTTGCGCTTGTAACCGCATAGGTGGTCTTATAATAGAGAGAGAGACATCACCCAGAACGTTGTCTTATTGGAACTGTTTTCAGTATATATTACAATATTTATATTAGGTATATACAACAACAATTATTGTAAAGTGACAAAATATTTTAATCATATTTTTTAATATAGGAACGCTATGACGTAAAACCCATTGCGAATTATTTTATAAAAAAAACATTTTTAGGAACTACGAACTTAATATATACCGAATAAATTAATTTAGGAAATTTATACCTAATATCTTAAGTACTAATTTGATATAATACCTAAAGTGCTAAAAATGAGTTAAACACAAAACAAGCACATGACTATACCGCCGTTGGTACAGTATGCTATATTGTTTTTTTGTGGGAATTGGTAACTCAGACGATGCAAGCGCCAACGCGAAAACCCGCTTCACACTTGCTCGAACACAATATAGAAATTAGGAAATCATTAAACATATTATGGTAAAAAAAAAGTATTAAAAGTAATATTCCTTTGTAATTGTGTTAAAATTATTCAGGACGGTTCTGCACTGATATCGGGTGTATCATTGTTACAATGCAAAAAAGTTTAAAACTAACAACTATTATTAAAACCAAAAAAAAAATACTATCGAAACCCCCATTTCGAAAAAATCTAAGTGCTAATAAAAAATTTTTTTTTTTTTTACTTAAAATTAACTACTAGAATATAATACAATAATCGTGTGTAACGTTTAGCTATCCGATAGAAAAATATCGAAGCTAAAAAAAATACCTTATTAAATATATATAAACATAGTTGAATTGACAGAAATAGATTTTTTAAAAATAATTTATCATTATGGACATTTTAAAAAGCCCGACTTCCTACGCGTTGTACAATACCGAGTATTTAAAAATAATAATTAATAAAAATGAAATTCATGCAAGTCCAAACGGCATTTAATCGCAAACCGCAATCGCTTTGAAAATAACTCTAAGTATTAGTATTTGAACGATTCAGATAGGACGACCGCAAGTCGTTTAGAGTTTGTCAATGACCAAGATAGTTAGTTGGTTTTTTTCCCACAACGATTATAATATGGTCTTATTGGGTATTGTAATAATTTGTGTGTGTGTGTTGTTCATTCTGATTTTTATGACACAAGACAATTAGCTTTCAGCAATGATTTTTACTCGATTAAAGTACACCAAAACTCGGATCGTTTGCATCGAAAAACGCGAAGAATAGGAAAAAATAAAGAATAATAATATGATTGTACGGACCATTGAAATATTAGAAAAAATTGTGCGAAATGAGCGTTTACAAAAAAATAATCCTTTTCACTAAAAGTTACTCGGATCGGTTAGCTCGTGTATTTTGTACTGTCTGGATGATTATTATTTTTATTAGAAATATCGTAAACAAACGGGGCAAATGCAAAATATGTAATTTTTCTTTAAAAAATAAATGACAATTTTTGACACGTTGGAAACATTAGTAAATCGAATAAAACTAAAAGGTTTTTTTTTTGGTAATTTCTACACAAAATTACATTTTATACGTTTGCTCCATTTGTTTACATCAAACTCGGATTGGCCTGTTAAGTCTTAATAAGTTTGATAAGGAATTTTTTTAACGTTTCTCTTGTAATGGTTGTACTATTATTTTTTTTTTTTACTGATGATAATATTATTGATAACAATAATAATAATATCAGTCATATCTTTTTTTTTTTTTTACTGGCCGGAATGAGCGGCGGCAGCAGCAATGCCGTTGACGTGGTTCGATGAGCAAATTAATTGTTTCTCTTCGACGTCCACGGCGGCGGCGTTCACACCGTTGCCCAGTAACCGCTGTTCCAGCAAATACTCTTCCTCGGCGGTGGTCGGCACCACGGCCGCCGGTTTGACGGGCCAAGCCTTGTGTTTGGAGGCAGCCGCACAGCCGCCGTACTCGGACTGGTTGCCGTAGGCGTAGGCGTTTTCGAGGGCCCGCGAGTCGGCCGACGACGAGCCGCCGCTGGACAGATCCGGTTGGTGTTGCGGCGGCTGCACGGCCCCGGGCCTGCGGTCGGCGGTCAGGTCCACTTGGGTCTCGCTGCTCGGTTCGAGCACGGCGGACGCGCCACCGCCGTCCGAAAACGGCTGGCCGTCGGGTTGGACGGGCCCGGCCGAGGCGACCCCGTTGGCCAACAACGAAGCCTCCCGGAATTCCCGGCGTAGCATCTCCGCCTCCATGTCGAACTCTTCGTCGTCGTATTCGTAGTCCGTCGACTTGTTCCGGCCGTCGTTGTCCGCGGGCGACACTGTTTCCGCCACGTACACACCCTGTACACATAATACACGAAATCAGAAAAGACAGTTCCAATGTTAATGAAAACGTGGCGGCCGTGTTCTAAACCTGCTATAATCATAATAAATTATATCTATACACAACTGAAAATAATAATGTATGGATATAATTTATTATGATTATAGCAAGTTTAAAACATGGCCGCTTCGTTTTTGTATTTTCCACGTGTTAATTTTTATTAGTGTCCAGGGCCTGCCCTTTACACGTACAGCAAAAAATGTTATTAATGTTGTTAATCGAGTGGACGTTATAGCACCTATATAACACCTTTCCACGCGAGGGGAAGTACGGTTGAGTAATGCGCACAGATAAAAATATCTCTACTCTCCACCCTTTCTCCAGTCCTAAGCTTTAATGACTTTGAAAATAATTATCTAAAACTAGTTATCGACCAGTCAAAATGTTCAGCAAATTATTCTTAATTTAAAAACTAATCAAACATATATGTTACTGTTTCAAAACTTAAGTTCATACGGTTTTAACATAATATAAGGGATGGGCTTATATTTAAAAAAATATAAATTAGGTAGTAGGTAAATTTAAAACTATAAAACAAATTAATTAAAAAATGTTTAATATCTTCAAATTTTTTGACTGGGTCATAACAGTTAACCAATCATTCAGTACAATGTACATGTTTATAATAATGTACGTTATTTGCCAAATTATCTCAACGCTGAATACATTTTTTTTAGGGTGTATTTTTTGTTTGCATTGTTATTGCAATGATATTCGATGATTGATTTTTTTCAACACTTTATTGGTTATATTTACAATTTATAGTATGAATGTATTTTCAACTAACTAATAAATTCGAAATATTCTTGAAAAACAATTCTATGTTTGTACTCGGAGAATCAATGTGTGCAGTTAGAATATTTAAAGATGAACGTACTTAACACTGATCAGACAAAAAGTTCAAAAATTGTTTATTCTATATTACTATATCATTCTATAGTAATAGTTTATCCGTTGTCGATTCAGATATAACTGTCAAATTTTTACCGGTCGTACATACTAATAAACCAATTCTAGTTATTGTAATTAAGTAATTAAAACAAATATGATTACCAATATTTTATTGAAATTATTATAGCTATTACTTAGACACGTAGGAAATTATGTTTAGCACCGGGTGCTATATAGCGGTCCAATAGTTAATTTGTACGGTGTATACATATTTTAAAAATTGAAATTTTATTTTGAAACTATGTTTTGATGTGTGAAAATTCTACTTCTATTGCATATACTAAAACATAATTATCACAATATGGTTATGGTTTTATGTGGATAATTTGTTGTAAAAAAATTGAAAAAAAACTGTTTAGTTCGGTAAATTGTTTTAGGGCGCTGTTATGATTTTGGATAAAACTAGACTAGATAATACGGATTCGACTAGAATTATTTAGCTTAAACCGTGCTACTATTTTTATCAAACGCATTACTATAGATATATGGGCACTAAGTATGACAAAATAATAATTACAACGACCGTAGGCCGTAAAAGTGTTCCGCTCTAGTGAGTTGATGACTTTTGCGCCGGTAATCGTTGGGTGTAAATGCTATATTGTGTAGTGGACCACGTCTGCCCGTGGTGTTTACTTTTGGTCGCTGGTTATAAAATACAAACATGGACAAAAACCGGGCAAACGTTTGGGTTTACCGAAAATCTATCATTATATCATTGTATCAATCTATCATTATATCCGCCTTGTACGGTATTGCAATCGATCGTATTGGGTATAAGTTTTCTTTTGACATTAGCGTGTTCGGCAAACATCGCCACAATAACGTTATTTGCGGTTAGTCTCATAAAGAAAATACCACAAATGATATTATATTTTATGAACTTGAACAAACGGCAAATACGGGGTACGCGTTACAGGGCATTTTTTTTTTTTTTTGCTTCAAAAAAGTTGTGCAAATATTTCCAAACTACTATTGTACGGATTTGAGTGGTATTTTGTTTTGTGTTTAATTACCGGCACTCTCTCCTCGGTCTCGACGATGAGATGATTGTTTTTCATAGTCAACGTGATTATGCTGCCGTTGAGATTGCTTTTGTTCGTGTCGCCGAAACGGTTGTTGGGCGGGCTATTGTACATAGGCTGCGGGGCAATGTAACAGCACGTGTCTTCTGGCATCAGCACCGAGTACTGCGATTCGCTCGTTTTCAGCTGTCAAGTCGAGAAAAAAAACAAATTTAACATATGTACTAGATGTAAATGGTACGGATTCCAGGAGGTTTAAACTGTCATACTTATATCTGCGTCAGACACACGTTATTAGTATAGAATAATACATAACGGTATACGGTTCGATCAGAAACAGGAAAAGAATAGACAATTTAATTATTATACACGCTGTCGCTGGTAGAAAAACAAACAACGTCGATACATTTTGATATTATTATATTTCCTGCATTGTGTAATGCAAATGTAACCTTTTGACAATGTGACTTCATAGTTACAATTTTTTTCCATCGTTTTACCAACAAGACATGAGATGAATAAAGGGAAAGATAAAACGTAAAGGGTGACGTTTTGTTTTTTTTAATGTAATTGTACATTTTGGAGCTTAGAACAATAATAATTGTTGGTGACTTTTTTTTTTTTGAAAAAATATTATTAAAAAAAACTTTATAACAAAAACCCCGTTGTTAATTGATGTAAACCTCGACCAAGTTTTTTTTTGCCATTAAAACGTATTATTTCAATTAGCAATTAAGACGAAAAATGCAATTAAGGAAGTTTTAAAATATTGTTATCACTACAAACAAAATGTTGTTTGTTAAAACGTTCTAGAGACTTTCACTATTTTTTAAAAGTATATTGTTTTATGTCAAAAGCTTTTGTGCACACTGGCAGAAATAAAAAAAAAGTAATCTAATTTATTTAGAACAACTACAACTAAATAGTGCGGTGGCATCTCAAAACTTACAATAGAGTTTAGCTATGAATAAAATTATAGTTTTCCATCACGATCAAGTTTATTCCTCTGGAGATAAATTGTAGTACACAAATATTGAATTATTATTCAGACATAGTTATTTTCTATTGACGTTTGCTGCGTGCAGTAGTGCCTGTCGGCGAATAGCATAGTTTATCTTCGATCAATCACTGTGTACAACAACCAGTAGATATCCAAATTTAATATTCTGCTAATCGATTTTAAATGACACGACAATTTTCTAATGAAAACAAAATAATAAACTGTACTTAACTGCTTTAAGTAAGACAAATGAAAATAATGACAAGCCCGTAAACTTGGTGTGTCTTCGTGTTGTAGCTTGTGCGCAGTAAAAAATGGTTAACCTAATCAAGTGCAATTGAAAATAAAAATAAAATATCTATTATATTTTTTTTTAATGGCGTACAAGCTGCTTTTAATGTGTTCGTTTTCAAAGCGTTTGTCTCTTGTTTAAGGCAATAATACCTTGTGGAAATCAGATAAGTTCCGAAATGTTTCTTGGTATTCTTTGAGAGCAACCCGTACACAAAAAAAAAACCTAAGTAACTTTGTTTTGTGTACAATCACTCGTTAAGTACACAGATCGCGTTAAGAAAAATGTAATTAACTGCCAACGTTGCTGGGCCACGTGCAAAATTAGGCGTAATCAATGTTATACAATCTAATTGCATAAACTTGCGTTTTGTGTTTCTCCAAGAATACAACGCATTACGCAGCGCTAATAAAAGAAAAATACAGCGTTTTCGTTTTATGGGCGATACTAATTTAAAAGAAAATGTACATAATTTAGAGTAATTTCTACCAGCACAGCACTCGGCTGTAACCAACTAAGTACGACAGTAAAAGAATCTCTTGCTTTCCAAAGACGGACAAAGAAAACCACATAAAGGTGATATCAACACCGTCTTTCGAGCAGTGTAAGATCTAGGTGTAATCTCATTGTGTTATCCCACTCACATAAACAACATATTCTGATAATACTTTTTTGGGAAATATTTTTATAATAAGTTATAACTGACTATGGTAAACTATATATGGTTTATTATTCTAGTAAGGGCTAATTTCCCGTCGTAGTTTTCATTTTCGCAGATCTAAATTTTATCTAATTATTTTGTCTCAGTTAAAACAATATCCATATCAATCGATTTAATCATTAACTAAAAATAGTGTTTTGTTGATCCACAATGATTTATTTCAAAATTCCGAAAAGTTAGTTATGACATGGTGAGGAAATGCAAAGTAAGATGTTTAAAATTGTTTTCTTGTATGATAATAATAGATTGGCGTTAATTTGTTATCACGAATTGATAGACCGGATAGTATCATTTCTTCACTCAAAAATGGGGCTGGGAAAGCGTTTTGCCCTTTCTAGGATGATGTCCCATATTAAAGGGAAGTTGTTTTAAGGGCGAACGCCTAGTAGAACAATTTTAATCGAACGCACGGGAACACAAGATTTGCCTACCCGAAACGCCGTCTTGACCGCCGGTCGACCCGATCATAGGCTACTTCAATTGAGTTATAATAAGTTGTAGTTAACAGATTTTTTTTGATTTGTCTACTACCCTGTGGCTTTGGCTATAGTGACACTGTATTTAATACGCTTGTATACAAACCTCTTCGGCGCTCTGCATAAAACTGGAACTCTTGACGGCGTCGCAACTGTCTTCGCGGCGCAGCCCGTCGTTGTCATAGCCGCTGGTGTTGGACTCGTGACTTTTGAACTCTTTCCACATTTTTCTGAAAACACATAACCGGTCAACAGCGGTGTGTGGAAACAGACGTGTAAGTTCGTTTTTACCTGACGCCCAGAACGAGCAGCAGACCCAAGAACAGAGGTATTATCGTGGCGATGCATGCTAAAAACACCGTTTGTATGTCGGTCAGTCCTGGAAGAAATAACAATATGATATTACCAATCAGCAGGGATACGATAAGTAACGTTATTTATTTATTTATTTTGTTAACCGAGATCTACCGGTTGTATTTGCAGCAGTACCGCTTCACATTATCGACATTAGTACATTGGTATTTTTCTGTTTATGCAGTTTTACAGTAATTAACAATTCAAATAACCAATAGTTAATTAACAAAAATGTACTCGTTAACCAAATCATTCGATCTGTGCTGTTTCAGTTTTAGTCTGGGCAAGGCGAGCCAATCCATAATACCTATTTCTCATTAAAATGCAACTGATCTGTTCTTATAGGTGTTATTTGTCATTTAGTTAACAGCTATCGGCTGCGTTTAAAAATTATAATTATCCAGCGTCCTAAGCCGACGGCGTAAATGCTTTTAAAAATTATACAACGATGTCATAATGTTGCATATTGTGAATAGCTGGTGCGGGTCTCGTCGTTATAATATTTCAAGCTCGACAAATCCGGTTAATTAATTGTTTTTTGTTTGCGCGGAGAACACGAACTGTGTACATAAGATAAGGTACCTTAAATAATATACATAATACGATAGATATAATAAATATAGGGGTTTCCGCAATAAAATAATCTTCTCAATTTCTCTTTAGTAAATAGAGATTTTTTATAAGATTCACTTTGTACCTATGGGAATAGTAATCTTTCAAAACTTGTCATATACAAAATACTTTTACAACAAACATTTTTTAAACTACTTTATCAAATTTCAAAAATAATATTACCTATTGTACTTGTACAGATTGTAAATTTTAAAATAAGTTACACAAAAATCCGTTTAATCAGTTTACAATAATATTAATAAATAATGACGGCGATTTTCATTAATATTTTATAATTATAATATGATTACCGTCAACGGTTTCGCATCGAAACGTTTCTTTTAGTTATTCCAATCGTATTTTGGTGATAAAAATTCTTAAAGACAGTGAATTTTGTTTTTTGTTTAAACCACCAGCCTTTTTTTGCGTGCGGACAGCCATTGAGAAATCAGAGATATGGTTATTTAATTTGTGTTGTGTTATTTAATTATTGTGTTCCAATGAAACGTTTTTGTAAATATTTTTCGATGTCTGTCATTTATTTATATATTTTGCTTCGTTCCTAAAACATTATCGTGGCAACAAAATCATAGTTTTGCAAACAACCGGCCCGCAGTGCCTTTGTGTATATTTTTGCCTGGGTCTTGATGGAATGTATATTTTACTATCGTTGTTCTTTTGACAATCAGAAAATAGAGGGTGATCTGCATTGCAAAACTGAAGAGCCACAAACATATAGAAATGAGTGGAGTCGTAAGCACACATGCTCGACGGCCATATTTTTTTTATATTATACACTGGGAAACGCCGTTAAGAACAATTCGATTTTTGTTTTGCGGGATAATCGTTATTTATATGTCAATCAAACATCCCCAACAAACGCGGCCGCACGTGAAAATCGACATGTTTATATTGCTACGGTCAGGTTCGTTTGTACAGTACTTAGGGTCAGGTGGGTAAGTACAGAAAGAGAGAAACGTGCATCCAAACCAAATTATGACCTCGTGGCAACGCGTCAATAAAGACGAACGGGATTATATGTTTTTGCGATAGTGGTTAATCGGATTTGATAGAAATTTTTTCTCTGCGAAAAACAGTATTTACGGATTGTGAACAGTTTACGACGACTTCAAAAATATAATTATTTCTATTGACTGATCCCGTCATTGTGTAATTGTAACGTGAAGGAAATTTACTGAAAAAGCTTGATCTTTTTGAAAACCGATCTCCGTCCAAAATAATCTTGGACGTGTCAATAGAAATTTAAAGATTTTAATCATACAATACAAGGTGGTCGTTTTATCGTGAACCGCTCAATATCTCATAGGGTTCAATATAAAATACAATTTTTTTTTTCATAATGTTTTTATACAATTTGATCTCAATTTTTCAAAGTTTTAATTTTCGTTTTTACCTTACCCCCCTTCCAAACTTAGTTTTTTCATATCAACTATGTATCTTTTTCAGCTTTTCTATTTGATAAACCGAAGAAGTATTCCATATTCCAATGTAGGACGAACCAATGAACAAAAAATAATTTTGAAACAATATATATCATTAAAATCTGGTGGATCTTATTGCAAATTTTAATAGATTTAAGACCAATTTGTTCATATTATGTGTAGAAAAAAAAAGGTTGGATTGAAATGTGACGCCAACATTACCTTTATTATGTACTTCGGGTAAAGGGTTATCTCTAATGTAGTAATTTAAAAGAGATTTTATATTAGTTGGGTGAAAAGAAACTTTAGAGCATTTGGAAACATTAAAGGTTAATACATTTCACATGCAAATTTTTTTTCAAAAGGTCATATGTATATTACAAAACATTGTAAATATAATATGCGCCTAATTTCGTTACTCTAAGTGCCTATTGTTTTGCCTTTAACGCACAATTTCATACTAGAAGTAATTAATGAAAATACAACTTTTCTTAGATAGACATACATTTTTTTATATCAAAACATTAACTTCGGTATATACCACAATACGAGAGGGTTTAGTTTTTACATTTTCTTTTCTCTCATTTCTGTATTTTAAATTTGATAACGTTTGATCCTAGTATATCTGTATATATACAAAAAAAAAAAAAATCATCCCTCATTATGATCGATTTTTGTTGGCGCATTACGTCAGACAGACGCACTTCGTAACTGAAACGAAAGCAGAAATCGTTAAAATGGAAACGTCGCCATTAGCAGGATTTATCCGGAAACTTTTAGCCGGAGTACCAGCGCGAGCGTGTCTCAAGACGTTATGTATATTGTTCGCTAGAAATGATTCTATGGGCGGGCAAACGAAAATATTGTACGTTTTATTTCAACGCATTTTTTCGGTTAAAGCGTAAAAACGAGTTCAACGTTAAAGCCGATAAACTCCCAGCCAATTCCCCCAGAAAATCCCATAAAAATCATCATTCATTTAACAAAATCTTTATCAATATAAAATAATATAATATATGACGTGGAAAGCGAAAAGGGACCTCTTGTCGACATTAGCCAAAAGCGAGTTAGTGCTATTTTCTGAATCTTGAAATAATTTGAGATCATGTACCAATGTACTACTGCATAATGATACATCATCGTAGCTAAAAAAAAATGAATAATTTATTGCACTTTGAAGTTTGTAAATAGGAATAGTTTGTGTCTTTTTTTAGAAATAAACTTTGCCGGTCCCTTTACGCTTTCTGCATAACATATAGTAAATATGTTTAATAAAATAACCGTTGGTTTAGAAATAAAACAATAAATGCTAATTTAACCAATGACCAAGTGAAAAATAATTTGTTGATTTCACAGTAGATTCGCTATGTTAAATTATAAGCAACTGATTGAGGGTTTATTTAAATTAACATTTTTATTGAAGGTTCTGTCCAACCTACCATTAACCACTTTTTCGGTTTTGGTTTTTTATTTTGAGCGTTCCAGCATTTTAATATCGCACATAATTTTCGTACAAAAATCTTTTGTTATGTTAACTAAAAGTGTACGAAACGATTTTAATTCGGTAGTCTTGCTCAAATTAGCCCTTTATATTGGCGTGTTAAGCGAAGGAGGGGTGTTGGGAGATGTATTCCCCAAGTTAGATTTTTGTTTCATTGATAAATTATTAGTTCTTTTGGCATCGCCGGCTAAACAAAGGTGGTTAACTGCCACTTTAGAAATTGATGGTTGTTGTCACAATAATTGATAGGTATATATGTATTCTACTACACTATATTGACTGTCGCAGCGAAGAAAGTCGTAACTTGAGTTTTGCAACTTTTGAGGAAAGCAAAGACAAAATTTCAATTTTGATTCCTTATTCTAATTTTGTATAATATATTCGTATGCAAGTTTATTTAGTTGTCTATACAACCAGATCGATTTTGAAAATATTCTTTTCGTCAAATATCGGGAAAAGAAATTGCTTTTGTTGTCTCCGAATTGATAAAAAATCAAATTAAGAATTATTTCGCTTCGGCAGTGGATATTATAATTTATAACAAATGTAAAATATAATGCAGCGAAACATTTTAATGTATTCTAAGCTTATTTATTTATTTTTTTTGGAATAGCCTTTATTAATAAAAAAAACGTTTGGCTATTCTATGTTTAAATATATATATTTTTTTCAATTTTCTCTTGCTATTAAATTAATATTAAAATGTAGTTCACAAAAATAGAATAATAAATTCACATTATTAAATAACTTTTGTTCATATTATTTTATTAGAAGAATTTTTTTTTGTAGTTAAATTCTATTGGTAGATTTAAAATTATTCTATGAAGGTGTGGAGGGCGGGGGGGGGGGTGAATTACGACACTTTCCTTTCTCTAGGTAATCTATAGATTCACGCCTGCCTTAATGACAACGAGCGGTGCGATTTTGGTATAAAAAAAAATGGTGATCTATAAAGGTAGGAACGCTAACAACTTTGTTCAAAATCCGCAATCCAGATACATCAGATAAAAATTCAATTTTTGTAAACTCGATGTATTTATAAATAACATGCATAATGAGATATATATATATCTGTATCATTCATTTGAAAATGTAATCTACACTTTGGCCATCGCTGCGCATCCATGCCTACCCGAAATGACGATTACGACGATATAGTATAGGTAAAATATTATTTTTATTTTTATACGTAAACTAAACAATACATTTATCTTAATAGTTTATAAAAACCAGTAATCCTAAGAGGTATATGTCGTGCAACAAATAGATAAATAGGTAAAAATTCGAATAAATTAGGATGAGGTAAGGGTGGATTTTTTTTTAGCTTTTTCATGTTATTAAATATATTATTATATTATATATTGATAGACGACTCACCTACGTCCTCTATGTCTTCGGCCAACAATCCCGTGGCGTTGACCACGTCCGGCAAGCCCAGGGCCCAGTCAGCCTCGCCGGGATACACGGTCTGATCGTGCGAACGCGTGTCGTTATTCATGTTGGTCTGTCACTGAAGCCGCATGCCAACGGAAACAATTATTACTATTTACTACAAGTTATCTTACATGGAAACGGTCATGCGGATAGACGGATGGCGAAAAACCTTTGGACGCGTCTCAGCTTTATAGTAATAGTGTAACAACAATAATAATAGTAGTGTAATACCTGCGACGTGTAGAGGTCCACTGTTGAACACCATAACAGTGATGTTTTACAGGGGGTGGGGGTTGTTCGGATTCGACTGGCTAAAGGCGCCGGCTTTTGAAAGTCGGTAGGGTTTTTTTAAAAATAAATTTTGTTTTACTTGCAAATCTGCGACGGACAAGTGAAAAAGAACCGAGTGTACCGCGTCGCCGGGAGATGGGCACAAAGTCTGTTTCATTGATTATGCCCCGCCGTCGGTACCCGGGACCGGCGATCGGGCGACTTCGGCTCCGGACGGATTTTCATTAAAGGCAGCAACGCGCGCCCCGAAGGAGAGAGCACCGCGAGAACCACGCGCTGCGCTGGCACGCTATATCCGCTATAAATGTATATACATATACATATAGCGCATAACAAATAATGTATACGTGGTAGGTAGCTGGTATGTGTGTGTGTGTGTATGTGCGACTGCTAACGGTTTGCAACCCTCTGTCGACCGACCGGCGCTGTTTCCCGCAAAAATTGGCCCGACCTTGCGGTTTTATTATTATTATTTTTTTGAAAATTATGCGCAAAAAAGTAACAATATTGCAACTAGGCTTTTTTTCTTTTTTTTTACAGTGAGCTCCCCAACCAAGCCAGCTCAAACGATAGTCGGGTAGGCACTTGCCACGTGTAAAAAAAAAAAAAAATGTTAAATGTTTCCGAAATGGTGTCTAAACTAAAAAAATCTTGTTTTACCAGGAAATATGTAACTGAAAATATCGTTGCAGTGTTGTGAAACTATTTCCAATGTCTTACTTCTATTTACAACTATTTTTTAGATTACATAATTCGATTAGATGTACTTATTTGTATTATTTTCTATTTTGTAGATATTGCATTATTATATTTTCGACGTTTTCAAAATATTTAAACAACTGTTACTTATGATGATAATAAACGGTGAATTTCCATTGCCCAGCGATCAATATAATATTGTATCAGCTTAGAAAATACACAAAACACAATATTAAACTTTAGCAATAAAAACACAATATGCAAATAAATAGCGCCAAAAATGGCCGGTCCCTCGTCGACTGAACGTGTTCATTTAAACACAGGGTTGTTTTTTTTGTAGAGTTAAGAATGTATGCACGAGGATATGGATAAGTGGCAACGACTGGGAATAATACAAGACATTTATAATATAGATATTCTGGTATACGATTCTTTTGCGCTATTACAATATGAAAATAAACTATAAAATTTTTAGATTTTCATCTAACAGAATTGTTTTTTGTCATTAACTATTGGCCCAAAGTCGTTGACGCTAAAATAATACATTATCAGCATTATATAATGTATTGTTGTAATTGTTATTATAATGGATTATCAAGAATATTATCGTTGATGACTGTGCATGAGTGGGCGGGCGTTTATACATCTTGAGGTGATTCTATTAGTTAGGTACTACGTAATAATATTATGCACGTATTGATTTTCCGAAAATTTCAAAGACCTTTCAACAACCTTCCGTACAACAACAAGAGTTTTTGTTTTATCATATTTGTTTTATTTATTCGTATGGCCAGAAACAATACATAATAATAAGTAATAAAAAATTATTAGGGTAGAGCAGTTAAGATGTTAGAGTACAGATTATAACATTTTAAATAGCACACAATAATCTTAACCATAGATTGATATCTAGATTCCACATCCATTCCATAGCGTTTGGAGTTGCGTTTACAAGAGTTTACTCAAGTGTTTCATTGAATTTACGATTGGAGCACTCGCTAATGTTATTGTGTGAAATAGTCTGATTATATGAATCACAGTCGCAGTCTGGAGCTGAGACTAGACCCCATTTGTACATCAGATATTCATATTTTTGTCGTGTCCAGTCCGGATTCGATTTAGGGTGGCCCAATCCTTACGTGGTAAGTGGTACCCTGAGATTCGATAGCTGCCGACTTTGTAGTAGTTTTGCGGATCCAGCAGTGATGCTACCCAATCTTTTCGCCAAGCGTTTAGGATGTTAAAATTAGAAATTTCGAATTCTATAGCGGTTTTCCAAGGCGGTTTTCTTGATTTGAGTCTTTGTGCGCATTTGAGGGTGTTGCCGTACGAGTGAATAGGTTTTATCATAAACAAGTGTAATCAAAAATAATAGTTCTACGCGAGTTATATTTATCGCAGCAATAGCATTATACTTCCCGTTTAATTAATTGGAAAATAAACTGTTTAATGACCATAACAATAGGTTAAATATTGTCAACATATTTATTATTTTTACATTATATTTTACAATCGAATTGAAATCAAAATATTATACAATTTATAATTATTTACCCAAGTGAATTATTTTCAAAAACCAAAATTTTAATTTAATTCTAAATAGCTTTCTAAAGTAATATTATATTACAATGAATTGCTATGTATGTTTGTAATTACAACATTTCTCTCTCTCTCTCTCTCTCTTGTTTAAAAAAAAAACAATTTTCATAGTTTGCTTGCAGTAAAAACTGTTTTTTTTTAACAAAATTATTTTAATTGTTTTAGTTCATTTCTCAGTTTCTGAGTTTCTGCACGATTTGCAACTCATTACAATGAACACATTATATAATTATTTGGCGACATAATAACAATAATACTAAATGAAATGCTTCAACAAATTATTAATTAAATTGAAAAGTTATGTAAATCTGAGCCCGATAATTTGTTCAATGGTCTATAAATTTTACAAAGACATAAGAGAAACAAATTATTGAATACAGCCCACAACACTACACTTGCGAGCCTTTATTATATATTTACGGTTATTACTATTAGTGGTAATTCGGTAGGTAAGCCGAAGTGTTTAATAATTTTTTATTGCGTTTTTTGTGTGAAAGCCTTTTGAAATCATATTTTAGCTCAAGTATACCTCAAAGTACTTCTTATATAGGGTCTCTTTACACGCCATTCGGGCACGCTGAACATTATTTCTATAGTGTTTTATGCGTTAATTTTTTTGTTGGCAAATTACCGAATCTCGGGGATGTTGTCTTCAGTGCTCTCGTTAGAGATAATTAATCACAATTACTACCATTTAACTTGACAACGAATAGCTTTTTTTCAGCCCGTGTTTCCTTTGTTGAAACTCCACACAATACGGTCGCTATTAACACTTGTCTATCAAAACATTAGGTATACATAATACTATGTTATATTACCGTCCAATATAATAATAAATCGCAATGTACATTTATTTTAGTTTTATTTTTCTACAGTGCACTTAAGTACAAAAAAAAGTAGTAATACTCGTACAAAAATTTTTTAATGCGTGACAAAATCTGTCCTTTTTTAATTTTATGGAAAACGTTTTCTGGCACAAACAATTGATAAATTCCAATTTTGTTTTTATTATTCGTGTGTTCGTTTATTATAAGTGTTATGCTTTATATTATTAGATCAAATAACTTCGATGACGTTCTCCGCAGCTTTTATAGTCTTTAAAGTGCACACCACCTAATTATTGACGCATTTGTCTCTTTTCTCTTCAATTTTTTGACAGATTTGGCGAATACGATTCGTCAACTTGTATTTTACTGAATCGTTCCTATTGTATAAGTATATAACCGGCTTAGTTTTGGCTCTTAAAAGACTCAAATTTAAATCACATAATATGTAGTATATTATCTTATTCATCACATATACTTGCTTTGCTTTAAATTGTACAGATTGTATATTCTTCTCAATAAAAAAAGGGGGAAATCAAAATCAAAATGTTTTTTCAAACAGAGCTAGGTAAAAACACTTAGGATAAAAATGTCATTTTTTAGGAACATATTTGTTTAAATCGTTTTGGATTCGACAAAATTATGAAAAAAGTTTTATTCGAATATTAGTTACTTTAGATGATACGTTTGACTGAAAAATGTCATACTCTGATTATATTGAACTATGTTATACTGAGTATAATACATACAACTCCTATGTTTTATAAATAAAAATGGTTTCATAAAAAATATTTTTACTTTATGGAAGTCATAACTGTATTATAAATGTTTTATGTATTGTATATATTATTGTTTTTACATAAGTATGTTCCCAAAAGACATACTAGGTATGTAGTTACAAAACGTGTAGTTGCAAAACCACTTTCATAATGAGTTTTACATTTAAGAGGTTTGCATATCTCAAACTCACAACAAAAATATCTCAAAACTCTCAAATTTTATAAACAGTTTGAGTATTACTACAAGTTATTTGTTTTTTTAACACAACTTTTTATTTTATTTTGTGAATATGATAATAACTATATTTTGTCTTACTTATAAAAAACATACTATAATAAACGTAATTTAACATTATTTTTTTTATTTTTACAATAGATAAAAGGTTAAATTTTTTGTTATTGAGGTATACCGTTGTAAATTCATAATTAACCAACTTGAATCGATTATTGCTAACCTCCGGGCTTTGTCTGCTTCCAAATTCGTTCCACCGGTGCAAACGTGACACCTGTGGTTTTGACTTTGTTCAATGTTTTGATGTTTTGATGCATTGTACATACTGTGTCTGACTAGTATAACATATTAATAACAGCTCATTTGCCATTTTTACTATTACAATTATACTTTAGTTCGCATACCTAAATACTCATGTGTCAGTGTACTCAGTGTACTAGATAATATCTACTTAAAGGCAGATACAAAGTCTCATAGTAATTGATTTATCACCCTTTTTTCATATTAACATTATTGCTATTAATCGACTATTAACAAATTTGAAGTGTCGTTTGATAACAATAATAAAACAAACTTAAGTATTACTAACAATAAAGGACAGGGCGTTAAGAAACCCATAAAGAATACACGTTTTTAATGGAAATACTTCGCTTGTCAAATTAAATAAGTCTCAATTATCAATTTTGTGGCGCATTATCTGTAAATAATAAAAAAATAATAACAATATTAATTAAAAAATGAGAAATCTATTTTTTTTACAGACGTTTCTCGTTACTATGAATACTGTTTAACTTTTAAAAGCTTTATTGTGTTTTACGAATGTTCGAACATAATGTTCAATGTACATAAAAGCCTCGACGTTTACTCAACGTCTGGCTTAATGGCCAATTACGGTCGTGTATGTGCTAACTAGACATGAAAAATTAATTTGCACCGTTTAAAAACACCAGCTTAGCCCTTCCAATATTTTATAGCTTTTCAATAATTGTTTATTCTATGAAATCATACTTAACGTTCGCTCGGTATAGGGTTTTCAGTTTATTAGGATTACTCTAGATTATTGTTGCAACGCCTCCGCTAAGTTTACTGTCGGAACCGAACCCTTCATAACTTCTCCACCTGCAAACTTTAATGGCTATTGCCTATTATAACTTATATATGTTCTAACCGCCGTAAGCCAGTTGTATAGGCTCGTGTCCTATTATATCACTTTATACGTTCCTCTATATACCAAGTTCTATATTATTTATTGCTATTAATATTATTCTTTATTGAATACCAAGTCGACGCCGTAAAACAATACCTACCGTATATTTTTATCGCTTTCATAATATGATTGTGTGTATGGGTCGTTTTTATAGATATAAAGTTTTTAAGTTATATAAACGAACTGTGTTAACTTGAATTATTGGCGGTGTCTTTTGGAGAGCCATTAAGCTTCAAAAAACTATAATGGATACTATTACTCAATCCAGTTCGATCCCTATCCGTCTGTCAGCTCCGACTGGGAAAAAGCTTATTCAGCAAAGTTAATTTGGCGATCCTCGGAATTAATCAATGATTTATACAGTAGAGTATAAAAGAGAATACCGGCTAAAACCATATATAATCAATAATGCTCAGTGCGTAAGGAACTTAAAACATTCTCATACCCAAATGAAAATAATAATAACAATAAAAGCAAAATTGTCGAAATGGCGTTTTATTGCAATAAAACGATAAAACGACACAATTTTGAGTTATAAACATGTGTAACTGTGATGATGTTTGTTAAGCTTTAAACTTTACATCCACCCAAAGGGCTGGGTTAACATGTAATACCATTTAATCCATGAACATATCTATTATATACGCGTCGTGTGACCATTATCAATATATTATGTTATTATGGAAATGCATTAAGTCATGTCGATAGAAAGAGCAAAATGGATAGTGTAGAGATAGAGAGTAATTTTATTGATTGCAATTCCACACATACATAATAATAATTAATATTACAAACAATGTCTATTGTTCAGGTCTCTAACGAACGCAATACTTAATTATTGTAGAACGGCCATGCGGAATAATATGTTTGTTTTGGAATAGTCACTGGGTTAGGAAACAGCTGTTATCATAAAGTTTATTGGTGTTACAACGATGAGAGGTTTTTTTTTTATTGCATCTTAGCCAACGTTAATGTCTTGACCGTACCCATATATATTATAGGGTGATCATCGTAAGACACTTAATTTAAATTTAGTAGTTTTTATTTTTGCAAACATATTTGTTTATGTCATTACAAAAAATTGTTTAAATACTTGCAGTTTAGAACTCTATCGATTTTAAAAACTTAGTTTTTATACCTAATATATTTTATTAACTTTTAATTTTGTAAATTTGTACTCATATCATTTGACTGGCCGACAAAAATGTTTTGAATAATCAGCGTTTAAAGCTTAGATCGAAAGAGTAGTGCGGTCAAGTAATGGGTGTAGTTAAAAATAAACTGTTCATTCCGCCTAAGGTTGAAACGCTAAAAATTATAAAAACAATTATCCTTATCCAGTTATCTAAAAGTTGATAATCTTAGTAAATCAATCTCAATATAAAAATGTATCAAACTAGGTACGTTACCATATTTAACTTGTTAAAAAGTTCATACATCACTTGAAAATATTTAAAAAGGTAAATAGATATTAGAATATTTGCCTGGATCGCAGTTTTTAGACTTACCGTTGGAAAATTGCATGAAAGGTATAGATTTAGCGTGCACCTAATTCGACTATATCAAACTTACACTTACTTTTTATCAATAATTTCAATGCAATGAGCTTTTAAGATTTTCTCATCGATACCGGTGTGATTGGTTTAAGAAACTGTTTTAGTTGTCTGCAACGGCACAGTTCATTTTGGAGTGACAAAGGGAAGGAGGTTGGAGGTAAAGTCCCAAAGGAATTCGTAAGCTACAACTAGCCCTCTTTGGTCGCTGGATTTTTAATATTAATCTGTTATCAGTATGTAGCATAATAATATGTAAATATCTATTGCCGCCAAGTATGAGCGTCCGCGAATAGTCTTAAAAAGAAATATATTAATATATATATATATATGTATCGTATTGTATTGTATATATGTATTAGCTCGTTTGCAAACGCTTCGAGGGCCAAGTCCAGATATCTGATAGTATCGTTATTATAATTATTGCACTTGGGTTACGATAATAACCGGTTCGCAGGTTATCCTTTTATCGTCACCCAAACGAGTTTCGAAAAAGGGCATAATATTATTATTATATACCTACGCCGACGGATTTTGCAACAAACGTCTATGGGGGACACAACGTTCCAGCCGTGTAGGTACTATACAGTAATCAGTCCGAGTCAATATCACAGTAGTTGTTGGCTATTTTTTAACCGCAGTAAAAAATAAAATATAGTTTGATTACTATAATAATAATTATTCCGACGTATCAAATTACAGCGATGCGATGTTAGTGTGTGTTGTTGCGTGTGCTCGGTCGTCGGTGACGGGACAGGTACTCTGCGTAAAAAAAAAAAACAGAAAATATTTTACAAAAAACTAATCAAATATAAACTCAACATACCGGAACTCCTATGCCGGCTACACCTACGATTCATCGCCGTCACATGGTCGCCGGAAGTGTTCTTCCGCATCGGCAGCAACAGCAGCAGCAGCAACCGGTGGTGGAGGCGGACCTGTTGTCGCACGGATCGGTCAGTCGACGCTTTGGCGGGTTTTGTGTAAAACCGCGTTTGTGAATAATAATTGTGAGTCTGTGCATGTGTATGTGTGAATATGGGCTGCGGGTCCAGCACCGGTTGTCGTCTGAACAAAGAGTTATACTTACCGTCGACGGAGCTGCGTTTCAACGCCGGCCAGATCCAAAGGCTCAACAACAATTTTCTCAGCGGATACGAAAATTCCGGTGAACGCACTTATGATAACTCTACTACTACTGTAACGTGCACTTTTTTGAATTTGGGGGCCCTTTAAGAAAACCACTACGAAAAAAACGTAATTATATAAATTGTTTATTATTCGGGGTCCTGCGCTCGTGTCTTTTGGAGTAAAGATGGAATTGAGCAAAGGGACTGTTGGCCGAGGGCAGGTTTGGTTGTGTTACGAGACGTAGTATAGCGGATCACTCAAAATTTGTGATAACATTTTTTCATGAACGGTTTTGAATAATTAGTTTTTTTAATAATAAGCGTAATTTTAATTGAATTATTCAATTCAATTCGTTGATAAATTATTTAAAACTTGAACAATTGCACGTCCCTAGTAAAATACTAATAATACACTGTATAAAATAATTTTGTTTAAAAAAAAAAACACCTATCTGAGGAAGGAATTTGTCTTTTTTAAATGTTTACTCATTGTTTATAATCTAAAATGCACATATCAATGTTTGTTAGTCATCAAAAACAATATTCGATGACCAACATAATAATAATTATTTCTGACATTCACTCCCATTTTCGTTTATCCTCTTATATTATCAAGAAACTAGTCACTGCTCTTGTATTTGCTTTTTTTAAAAGCATAATCGATAACGATATTATCGCGGCTTGTTAGTTGTATTTTTTATTTTATTAATATTTAAACTTTTGTATTAACGACAGCAAGCGTTAATTGTAAGTTATACGTTTATATTCTAATATCTGTCACAGTAGTATTCTTTTATATGGAACTAATTTTTTAACTAAAAACGTTTCTAATCAAATCTGTATGGACTATTTTTTTTATGAAACTTGACATAGAGCCAAAATGTTATTATACTCGTACAATAACAGAGCAAAGAGCAAATATTGCTATTTAATATTTACCAATGTTAAATATTAAATCATCACTATTATTTAATATTTATTATAAACTTTTACAACACAGTCAACCCCTGTTTTTATACCATAACCTAACCTCTCGGGAGATGCACGTTTTTGGTGAATTAGACAGCCTAAGCGCATAATATGTTATATGAACAAAATTAATGATAGAGAGTTTATCCATAGATTAAATACATACTTTGTATATCTCATAGATGTCCATTGTTTATCTGCTTATTTACTTGTTTATGTTTTATTAAGTTACAAAGGAAAAGTTATAGTTCTTTCGATAAGATAAATATGTATTTTTCTAAAACTTAAAAAACTTTATCTTTTACTTTAATTATTTCATTGGAATTTTTTATTAAATAATTCACGATTTGGTTTTATATATAGTGTATAACTAGCTTCAATGTAAACAGGTTTTTTCTGTATTAGATTCTATAATGAAAACTAATTATTATTGTCATATGATATGCTTATAACTTGTAGACCGAGAACAAATCCTATATAATTATTTTATTTTACTAACGATTAATGTGGGAAATCAGCCGTTTCAAACATTGGGAAATAATAGCAAAACCTTTTAAAAGTTAATTAAAAAAATGGGTAAGTTTGCATCAGAGAATTTCATTACTATATTTTGTCTTTGTATCTTCGATAGTTAAGTCTGGTAAGAAATACATTATTGGTGTGTTTATAAAAGTATTTAAGAATATCAACGATTGAAATGCTTAGACTTGTTTTACTCAACAGATAAAAATTCTAAAAGAAAACATAAAATGGACAGCTTTTTTCATGTGCCACGATAGAAAATTTCAGAAATGACTTGTAACATATTTTTAGAAACATAAATAAACGCACGAGACTTGGACTGTACTTCGGTGGACGATAACACAACAAAAATGGTCTACGGATAAACCTCTTGTGTGTGTCTACTAGTTAAGCCAAACTCGGAGAAACTTAATGCCTACTAACTTAGTGCACTCGAAGGTTTCCACCCTTCTGAGTAATAATGATAATGACGTTGAAATCGACAAAGTCTATTCACCTCGCACAGGCAAACGTGCTTACCCGATCACGCGACACATTTGTGTTCGGGGTGTGAACACTGATGGTGGTGTAATGTAGTTGACATTTTCTGGTTTCAAAGGTCCTTGATGTTATTTACCTTGTCCGGATATGCCAGAGTTGAAGTCCGAACATTTATTCGCCAAGTATAAATTGATTTTGTTTAACAGTTATGTACAATACTGCACTCAAACTCAATCATTAGAAATATAAAATGAAGTTACTGTAGTCGAGTGATTTTAAATTTAATTTGGTTAAATCACTAAGTATAAACATTATCTGAAAGAAAAAAAATATAAATAAAAAACATCGAATTACCGCTATATTATAATATTATTATCGTCCAAAACATTTGAAGTTTAGTCGAGTCAGTCAGACATCGACTCACATAGCATATACAATTATAATCATATTATTAAATATACCTAATTAATATTTAAAAAAATTGTGAAAATATATATATATATATATATAATTTCGTCCATAAGCAGTTAAAAACATTTATATAACATTTTTACTAGATTTCAGAAGTATAAAATATATTTTGTGTGCTACGTGGGATTTCAAGTGAAATCTGCAGATAGTGAAAACCAATAAATATTATTAAAACATGGTTAACGCAATACCTTAAATTCTAATCTGTATAATTTATTATTATGCGTTTTTATTTGATTTTTAAAACTAAATTTACTGTCATTGTCTTATCAATGACTAGGAACTTGTATTTTTTCTGCACTTAGTCGTTAGCCTTAACAATTTACTATCAATTATTGAAACTTATCTTACAATAAATCTTAACCTACACTTTCAACAATCCTATTTAAGACTTTAACATGACCAATACTACTCAGTATATAGGTCCTCCCATTATTATATAATTAATATTAATAAGATAATAAGGTAAGATAATATTGTTAAGTTTTTTAGAAGAAAAAAATATAATATATAATAATTCCTGCAGGCTACATGTTTGCATAATTAAAAATAGCTATACATATAAATACTAGTTATAGGAAATACAAAATAACGACAATAATAAAAGTAAAAACGTAACGAAATACTATGGCAATAGTTTTTATTAATTGTCAAAATGTTTTCCGCCGAGTGGGTTGCAACATAATATTGCTTTTTTTTATGTGTCACTATAATTATACATAATTATTGTCTATATTTGTATCATAAAGTAGGTATAATTTAAATACAAGACGACGTGTGTGTGTATATAGTACCTAATGTTAAAAGATACGATATTTTATCCGTGTGTATAATTAAATCTGTTTTTAATAATTTACTATTATTGTAAAAATATGTAGATGATCTTCCCACGTCCGGTACTTCGCAAGATACCAAAGCTACCGTCAACAAGATCGTGCAACGTTTGATGTGCGGCATTGGTTTGTTGGATAAACGATTTGCTAGTAAATTTCTGGTCACAGCAGAACCCATTTCGTCTAACGCACAAGTGAGAGTCTGACCGATGCGATAGCCTTATAATAATAATATATTATTAATAATACAAATGTTAAACAATTGTCGTGAAATATGATTTATTACAGTTAAGAGTTGTTTTTGTTTGAATATGTATGAATTATTCATAATAATTTTATAAACTACGTACTTTTAAATATTTAAAAATATTTTATCTATTTGGCAAACCAAAAGAAATAGTAACTTTAACATACAATTATTTATATTATATTGTGGAAGATTATAATACTTAGTTGACAACGATGGTAAAAAAATGACAAATTTAATTAATTTAAAACTCTTTTTCAAAAAAATAAATGTCTTACGTTAAATAGATAATTTTGTATTATTTGTCGATGACAAGAATAATAAAAACTGATTTCGATCTTTTTTTATGAATGACTTTATAATTTTATCAAACAATTAAAAAAATATATATATTACTTATCTGTTTTGTGTCAAATAAAACAATTAAAATAAAAACTTTTCTATAGCTTCGGTGATGTTCACTTTTTGTAACTTTTGGTGAAAATGGACTTTAAAAATGTTTAATTTTCCATGAGGTTATTTGTTAATTTTTTTTATAAAACTTTCATAACTTTTTCTTTTATTTTCTGAGATTGTCGTCTTTTTACATAGTATAAAGCTTGTCTAGTGTGACAATGGCTCTTCGCTTAACTCGGGTTGACTCGAGTAACATATTTTAATATTAAAAGAAAATTAATAATTATTAACTTATTAGAATAAGCTTTATTATTACTAATAATATATCATTCAAGTTAATCGTTGATATATTAGTCATAATAGTATATACTTATTGAACTAAACTATGGGCATTTCAGCTGTCAAAAAGTTTTACCTATTACATTCGACTCGATGCGCTATCCGAACGGAAATTGTACGACGACGACGACTTGGAGCATTCAGTCAGATGCGTTACGGAAGAAGATAGCACTCCACAAGGTTTCGCCAAAATCAGATTAGTCACTAACGATCCGGAACAGTGGAATGATTTAACCGATGACGACGGATACTTAAGACGGTAATAGTACAATAATAATGAAATAATATTATGTTTGTTAGCAAATACATTAATAACAAAAATAATGTACATAAAACATTGGTGATGCTGTTGTTCGAATATAAAAGGAGACTGATATAAAACAAACAAAATAAAAAAACAACGTTGCTTTAACGGTGTAATTCAGAATGACGGTCAAACGCCATGTTGTATGTTATTTTGGCTCGTGTGGTGCGGGTTGCTCATTGTTTATGCATGCGTTCTCTGACTAAGTGATATCGAATAATATCAGTTTGCTGTTCTAACCGAACGGTCGAAAAAAAAAATAAAAGTGAACCCCATTTTCCACAATACATTGACGTCACATTGAAATCACATCCCCGAGAGAACCCGGTTAGACCTTTTTTTTTTGTTAGATGGCAGTCATCACTTTGTGCATAATGTAACGGAATTATTCAGTTCGATCTACCGCTTTAATGCACGGGCAATACCTATTGAACAGTATGGAAGGTTTAACCAATTGATCATTTATTAATAGCAGTAGTCACTAGCCTTTCAAACAATCGTTAAATTTAAATTTATTATTTATTGATTCGTTGTATGGTACTACCAAATAGCAAATTTTGAACAGGATCCTATAAGTGTCATAGCTCATCAGTGTTGATAGAGTTTGTTTGACCAAATGCACAATGTTTCCAATAATCAAAATGTCCCTTACATATCACTCGGTTATATAAATATTACTCGTTTCTCTATTATAGTGTACGGAAAATGTATAGGGTACTTCCATCGCTCAGTGCTTTGTAGTCGTCTTTCTATAATATAGAATGTGCCAGTTCTTACAGCGGTCAATACCAACGTATTGATCATTGCGTGTTTGACGTTAATGGAAAATTCCTATTTCAAACTCCACCGAGGATTTATAATGTTTTAAATTAACCCATAAATCAAGACGGAAGCTATTGACGTTTTTTTCACGAAAATTCATTCTTACTGCAACATTTATTTACAGTAACATACGCATGTATGTACCTAGGGTTTTTAGTACAATAAGAGTTCCTATCTTCAACCAGAGTAGGCTAGATAGTCGTTTGGAAATATGATAACAAGAATTTATAGAGTCACCGCATTATTTCATTCTTTGAAATATTATAGGGACAAATTAAAAATGCGTTTTATCGAGCTGCTCGCTATGTCTGCGTCCAAAAACGATATTGTCGGTTCGCCCGAAGACGTGGACGAGAGCTACCTGTGCGGATGTCCAGGCAAAGTGGTTGACGCCGGAGTGTTACACGAAATCCTCAAAATTCCAGCGGACGAACACATGTTTTTTGGACCTGGTAAATTTGTGTTATCCGTGCAAAAACGTTGGTCAATATTTTTGACTATATATAAATATATATTTTATCACACAGGTAGTTGCGGACCATGTCAGTTTCCTGATCCCAAAGAGCTGCGTATAGCCGTCGTCGAAGACGCCCAATGCGTGAAGCTACGGATATCAGGTCCAAAGTTACCCGGCGAAGTAGCCGTTGTCCTTTTGCCAGCCATCGAGTTTGAGGGTTTACCCAAATACACTGATTTATTGTCCAGGATACCGATTACACACCCGGATATTCTTCTCCATCAAAGAGCGTGTTCTATGGTATACCGTATTATAGATTTATTTAACGTTGATTTGCATAATCAGATTTTAAACGCGTATCGATTAAGCCGATTGTTGTCTTGTTTTCTCATCGATTGTTCTATAGGGATACTACGTAATACCCGTGTCTCCGCACCAGACCGTTCGCTGTTACGACCGACAAGCCACTTGGCAGATCCGTTTCCCGGCGGCTGAGTGCTTGTACCAGACCCACTACTCCGAGCGCAGCGTCATCAGCAACATACACCATTTCCTGCGCACGAAAATTCCCAAACTGCGCCACGGCGACAACGGCATGTGCGTGGTCAGCGGATACATACTTAAGACGTTGCTGTGGTTCCGGTTGGAGGCGTGTGGCGCCGTCGAGGAATGGGATCACGGTTGCGTGGCCGGCCACGTGCTGTCAATTCTCGACGCTCTGGTGGCCGCATTGAGGAGCCAACACCACCGTTCATACTTTTTTCCTTACGCAAACGTCATGCTGAACGCACCTCGGGCAGGTCGCACTATGGTTTCGGAAGACGATTACCAGAATGACGTAGAAATTGTCGAGGCATACTTGTACGGGCTTTTCGAAAAGTCTATGGGAAGCGATTCCATAGTCACCGGACAGGCGTTCGAGAATCCCGATCAGGGCTACTGGATGAACTTGGAGTCGGTAATGTTACAAAAATGGCACAGGGTGCTGGAGACCATAAATCCTAGATCACGGAGGGTCGTATACACGAAGAAACAAGTGGAATATGTTAGCGAAGTTTTTAAAGGAATGTTAGCTACAAGACAATACGTACGTATATTCGGATGTTTTTGTTTATTCTTAAGTCTAAATTATTATTATCATTTAAAAGAGTACTTCCATCTGTTGAAATTTGAAATCCAGTAAGATTGAGAATTGAAACAACTCATTACCTACTCATTATCATTTCATTTTTTTCTATTCAAATCCAAATCACGTCGCTAATCCTTATCCTAATTTTAATTCTAATCTTGATGGCAACGAATAACGTACCTAGTTTTCAGGTGGCATTTATTCGAGGGTACTATTTTTTTGTTATACTCATCAACTATTTATTATTAGGGAAGAGATTCGACAGCGTGGTGTTTTATCGAAGACAAATTACCTCATTGCGGCGGTGGTAGTCGTGAAGAAATCAGCTTAGACGCTGCCTACCTAGTGTCAGTTGTGGTAGAACAGGCTATGACGGCGGCTGGAGCCCGTGGCGGAGTTAAGGCCACTACTAACCACAAAAAAAATTCCTGTTTCGAGAACGCTAGAGGGAAAGGACTGGCACGGCGACGTAAGGTACGAGATCCGGCCAAACGTCAAGCTATGGATGTCCGACGGGAAGCTGCTCGGCAATTGTTATGCAACGTGTATGCCAGTGCCACGAATACCGCAATCAACGGCGACATAGAACTAGTCGGCTTCGTATTAGATCGGTTGCACTCTACCGCAACATCCGACCGACGTCTTGGACCGGCTCTGCAACCATTCCTACGTCAGTTACACGATGTATCTCGCAAAACTTGCTGGCATCTAGACGAATGGCTGCGTCGATGGGACAGAGACGAGCTACAATCCTTAGGGACATTTGCCCGACTGCTCTGTCAGAATGCCATACAGCCTACTGAAGCTTTGCTGGACGCCATACAAAAAGGTTTACTTTTACTCTTACTTTACAATAATGGTACTCCTAAAACATCTAAAAATCTGCGTTCTAATTTATAAACATCAAATTTTCGTCTTGTTTTATTTCCCTGTTATTTTAAGGTTTCTACAATAATTGATTAACTTTTATAAGATGAATGTAAGATTAATTTACTTTAATGACACTAATATCACCTTAACATAATCCAAATAGCGTTGATTTGGATTTAATGTTTAAATTTAGATAAGAATTCTCCAACAATATCCCCATACGTTAATTAATTTTGGTAAATTATAATTTTTCTTTGAGAAAATTGTATTAAAAATCGCTTATTTCGATTTTTGTCCTCAATTTACCATAATTGGATAACAGAAACCGTTAATACTGTTTCAAGGTTGGTCCTGGGCTGATAAGTTGCTACTGGCCGTAATGGAGTTTCAGGACGACGTGGATATTATCTGTGCTCCTGAACGAGGAAACGTAAAACGTTTTAGCATATCACTTCCAGAACCAGAACAGGAAACGTTCGCGTCCCGCAGTTTGGGCAGGGCGGCCGACAGACATTATTCCGCTCGAGCGGACACCGTTTCAAATAAATTCAAAACGGTTAGAGGTAAAAGCATTAGCATATTATTAAATCGGTTTGATTTGCTTCGATACAATGAAGTCACAATTGAAATTTTTAACGAGAACGATTATGTTTTTTTGAAGTTCAAAAATTAAATGCATTTTTACTGGACGGTAACGATAGTTATGATTAAACTTTTTGTCCTACAATAGGAATGTCATTTTTGGACGTTGACAGTATGTTAAACGGAGAGAAGAAGAACGCTCCCAAGAGCGCTACCGCCCTTTACAGCCGTTTGCAATGTCAGAGTCCAATGACCATGACCATCATCAGTAACAGGTGTAGAAGCAACCATCGCGTTTTGGGGAACATAGTCAACGCTTTGATTACGTTACAAAAATATACAGTGAGTTTAAACACAACTATTCTTATAAATAATTTGTAGATTCGTCAGATTCCATTAAAATCATACATTACTGTTAGCACTGGACACAGGTATATGACCAAAAATGAGTTGCTATACGGTGAGCCAAAAATAATTATTAGATATCATTGCACTTTGGGCCTACATAGTTTATAGCTATTAATGTAATAGAATAGTAGTAGTACGTCTGAATGATTTGCGAATGGAAGATTTTGCAGGAGATGTGTTCGATCCTGCCGGAAGACAAACAAGGACCGGTGCTTGATGACATCCGGAAGATCAGCAAAGAAAGGAGGCGGGAACGTCGGGACCTATCTATGGTGAAGGACGTGCAGACCACTGGTGTTTACAGATCCATGTCCGAATTGTCGTTGACTCCCAACACGCTGGAAAGGGTACCAAGTGCAATGCCACTCAGGACCATCTCAACCAGTCTAATATCCACGGTCAGAGTAGCTAGGCGCAAACAGTCCAATGTCACTACAGTGTACAATCCTGCATTTTACGACGCTCCCGTGGCTTATGCACACACCGACGCCACTAATGCCGCCGCAGGCAGGTTCCAAAATCCGCTGTGTCAGCCGTACTTGCGCATGACGCACAACAACGGATTCAGTTTGTCTTCGGATCCGGTGCTCAAAGACAAAACCACTAAACTGTAAACACAGGCGGTTCAACAGACCAATTCGCACTTTAATTTCGTTAATTTCGTTTTCATTATAGGTGTACATATACAATCCTTACTGGGCAGGAGATAAGGTTAAGACTGTAGCAAGATGGGGGGGGGGGGGCAAGCATTGGTCTGAGCCTAAATGTATATAATTTAGTTTTTGATTAGGCGCAATCATTTTTAGGTAGCTTCTGGAAGGAGTTGAGTTAATTTTACAACTGAAAAAATCAAATAAAGAATAATGGTCGTCGACGATAATAAAAAATAATCGTATTTCCAAAGTCGTTCCGTATTGTATATATATCAGTTATTCATTTTACTATAAAATTATGGTATTAATATATAAACCCCATATCACCCCTTCCCGGAGGTGTGTACGCCTCTGATTCTAAATAACGGTTATAAACACCTGTACTTCATATTATAAAATATAATATATCTCTAAGTAAAACCTCATTGAAGTTTGAACTATACTTTTAGCACCGATGTTTGTGTACACTTTTTTTTTTTTAGGGTATTTATATTATTTTGTTATTTTTGTACGTTTATAAAATGTTACTACGTTTAATGTACATATTACTCTATTTTCACTTTTCATTTTCTATCCTTTGACTGTATTTCCTTTGTGTAATTTTACAAATTTTAAATATAGATTTTGCCGTCACTTGACTAATGTACTGCACGAGATCAAAGTGAGATGCAAGTCTCTTTTAAAACTTCTCTAATAACAAACTACGCGGTATTCCAAATTAAAATCGAGTGAATAAAATATATTAATCCAACAGTATACTTGTCTATTAGTGTCAATAAATGTCAACATCCCGTGGCCTCCATAAAATTCATATAAACTTTTGTCGATGATAAAAGTCTAGTATCCATTTGAAAGTTTGTTGAAAAACAGCTCACGGCTATACTAATCGGCGTTATATTATTAGTTTTACTGTTTTCTTTATTAGCCTATTGTAGATTAATACTATATAATTTATTATGGTAGTACTAAATAACAATAAGTATGAATATTATAGACACTTTTAAATCATCCGCATTATTATTTTTTGTAGTCGATACATTTAGTTTACATTCTAGACTAGAAACTAGTAATGATTGCAGCATAACATACATATGTATAGCTAATGAATTAATTGTTCAGACAGTAGAATCATTAGTTAACCGTTTAATAAATTAGATAATAGGAGGCCCATAGGTAAATGCATATTTCTAAAAACCGTTTGGAATTTGGTTAATTTTACCGTGCAAGGTGTTAATAATTATCTACGGCAAAGCTATACGACTGGTACGAACAAGTGTTTTAAGTTCAATTGTCTTTGTTTAATTGCATCGACTAATTATTACACAAAATTATAATAATAATACATGCCAATAACATTGTCAATTGTTCATTTTATGGTATCCGAATAATATTTGGAAAGTAAGTAAGTTATAAATATACCAACACCTTAAATATTAGTTGCACAAATGTGAAAATTATTCAAACTTGTTTTTTTGTTTTTTGAAAATGTGGCGTTTTCTAAAAGTATTTAAGTGTTTACTAATATCATGTAGTCTTATTTGTTTGCATCAAGTAAGTTTTTAAGTCTAAATTATTTTTATTATACATGAATACTATACAATATGCTACTTTAAAATAACTCATTTGTAACATCATGTGCTGATTAATTCGGCATACAGTCAAATAGATTTGTTATTGGGTGGGTTATTAGCAACAGTATATCAGTACCTAGTTCCTAATTTAAAAGTAGTGTACATTTTTTAGTGAGTGATTATCCGCTTGGATGCAAATATGAGGTTGACGTAAAACAAAGTTTAAGTCTAATAAATGGGTTTAATAAGTATAATAAAAAAAGAGGGTAAATCATTGACAATAAATTAATTTTTTCTGTAATCAATAAATTATTTGATTGAGGAGTATTACTTTAAATTTATTTTAATGTCGATATCTTTCATTACCTTATAATTTTTTATTTTATTTGTGAATTAGTTGGTCTTAATTTGTTTTCGTTTGCTTACAATCGAAGTGTTATTACCATATTTATGTACAATTACAAATAGAATATTAATATTTCTTAATATTTTACTACCATCTAAAGCATCCACAATCCGTTATTCAATTACTGGAATATTTAGAAGGGTAATACATGTCGATTAGTCTTATTTTGCTAGAGTGTCTGAATTCTGGTTTGTTTTGATTTCAGAATGAAGTTTTTTCTTTTAAAATTAATCCTAAAGATGTAGAAAAGCAGTGGAGTGTTTTAGTAAATTCCACGGAACAACCAGGTTTAGCGAGAACTGCGAAAAACTGTGGAACGAGTATTAACCGGTTCTATGATGAGTTAGATAATATAAAAAATCAAACTACAGAAAAGTTAGCAGTAATTAAAGACACAGCCGAAGTAAAAAATTTGGCTGTTGGTTTTAAAAAACAAGTGGTATCATCCACTACGAATTTGAACGATGTCCAGAGAAATGTGTATAAACTGGCTGGACACTTTAAAGATAAATACAAAAATGGCTTGTGGGGCATTGAGATTGATTCCCAAAACACTTTTGATAAATTAAATGAGATGAAAAGTACTCCTGTGGACAATACTAAATCATTGCCCGGATCAGCTGCACGAATGTTCGGTAACCGACATGATTATGAAAAATTGAGTAATAAAATTCTTAGTGTATCATTAGATGACCAACAGCTAATGGATGATTTAAAAAAAAAAAGAACAAAAGCAAGAGCCGAGTTTTCATCCTTATATAATGCATTAGATAAATGGACAAAAAATGTTAACAATATTGCGTTTGAAACGATGGATGTTTTTTTTAAAGGTATTAGTTCAATTAAATCTATTAAAAGAAAAGTTAAAGAATTTAAAGAAGATGCCCTGTCTAAAATCGATGAAAATGAGTTGGCTGCAGTTCAGAATGCAATCGAATTGGCTAAGGCATTAAAATTCATCTTTAAAACACAAATAACTCATGATTCTAATGAGATATTTGACGATGAACCAACGGCTGATGATGATACATCTACGCAAGCTGATGATTCAAACGAAGAAAACAATATTAACAAGGAAAATAAAAGTATACCTAAAAATGAAATACAAAATCAGAAGAGTCTAAGCGATATCGCTGCAGATTCTACACCCAGGCATGAACCTAAGAAAGAAAATCTGGATTTACAAACTAGTAATGAATCAACAATTTCTAATTCATCCCCCAACGATACATCAAATGTAAATGACACTAAATTTTCTCCTTTAGACGAAGAAAAAAATAATATGACAAAAAATACACCTCAAGAGAATCCAAACAACTTAACGATAGATTCTGTGCCAACAAGTGAACCAGTGAATTTACTAACTAGCAACGAATCGATCATTTCTAATGCATCACCTAACGATACTTTAAGTGATAATGGTTCTACAATTTCGCCTTTAGATAAACAAAATGATATCATTTCAAAACAAACATCTCAGGAAAATCCAAAGGACTTAATTGCAGACTTTACACCTAAGCACAAAAAACTGGATTTAGAAACTAGTAATGAATCAAACATTTCAAATTCATCCCCCATCGGTACATTAAATGTAAATGACATTAAATTTTCGCCTTTAGACGAAGAAAATAATAATACGACAAAAAATACACCTCAAGAGAATCCAAACGGCTTAACGACAGATTCTGTGCCAACAAGTGAACCAGAGGATTTATTAACTAGCAATGAATTAACAAACTCTAATTTAACCCCTAATGATACAGTAAGTGCAAATGACACATCATTATCGCCTTTAGACAAAGCAAATAACCACATGTCAAAACAAACATCTCAGGAAAATCCAAAGGACTTTACTTCTGATTCTACGCCAAAGCATGAATACCTAGATTTACCATTTAACAGCGAATCGACAACATCTAATCCATCACCTAACGATACATCAAGTATGAATGACACCATGGACGATGATGTACATAATAAAGCAAAACCTAAACATATGCGAAGAAAGAAAAAGTTATTATCATGGGACGAGTTAATTAAAAAGCCTGAACCAATAGTGAGTTCAGAATCGAATAATTGTGTAAACGCATTGAAAACAAGTATATCTGATCTCAACAGTATAAAATTGTCAACAAAAAATAAGATACAAGCAGCGAAAGATGAAAATGAATTGAAAGTAACGGAAAACGATGCCATTAAAAAATATCAAGACAACATGAAAAAGACCAACTCAGTTTTAGCTAATAGATTAATTGATGTGGCTGAAAATGCGTGTGAGACGGTAAAATCTATAGATGATAAATATGAAACAAAATTCAAAAACGATCCTAACCTTCAACGCGTAAGTTATTTATTAGGGAAAAAGTACGATCCTAATTACTACATATTGCAAGTTTTATCTGAAGCCGATACTAACAGCAATAAAAATGGAGTAAGCGGTAAAAAAAAACCATCTTATTACAAAATGGTATCGGTATGTCAAAATTTGATTAATGAAACAAACGAGATGGACGAATCTGCGTTGTACGCCATGAATAAAATTTACGAAGGTCTTATAGCGACTAAAGACTTGAGCAAAGAAGCTAACAAAGAAAGCGCTCAAAAAGCTTTATATATTTTAAGAAAACTAAAAGAGGATGAAAACGAAGAAGATATAATATCAAAAACGGAAAATCATAATAAGGTACAGGAAAAAATTTTCGACGATGACAACAATAACGTACGAAATCAAAACGAAAATCACAACTCAAATGATAATTTGCAACCTAATGCAATAGCACATAAAAATGAACCGAAAGTACCAGTAGATGTTGATTTAGGAGATAATACACATAACAAACAAATTGCAGAAGATTATCCAAGATCACAAGAGGTCGATGATGAAGACAATTCAATTGATAATTTGCAACCTAATGCAATAGCACATAAAAATGAACCGAAAGTACCAGTAGATGTTGATTTAGGAGAAAACACAAATAACAAACAAATTGCAGAAGATTATCCAAGATCACAAGAGGGTGATGATGAAGACGACTCAATTGAAAATTTGCAACCTAATGCAATAGCACATAACAATAAACCGAAAGTACCAGTAGATGTTGATTTAGGAGAAAACACAAATAACAAACAAATTGCAGAAGATTATCCAAGATCGCAAGAGGTTGATGATGAAGACAATTCAATTGATAATTTGCAACCTAATGCAATATTACATAAAAATGAACCGAAAGTACCAGTAGATGTTGATTTAGGAGAAAACACAAATAACAAACAAATTGCAGAAGATTATCCAAGATCACAAGAGGTCGATGATGAAGACGACTCAATTGAAAATTTGCAACCTAATGCAATAGCACATAAAAATGAACCGAAAGTACCAGTAGATGTTGATTTAGGAGATAATACACATAACAAACAAATTGCAGAAGATTATCCAAGATCACAAGAGGTCGATGATGAAGACGACTCAATTGAAAATTTGCAACCTAATGCAATAGCACATAAAAATGAACCGAAAGTACCAGTAGACGTTGATTTAGGAGATAATACAAATAACAAACAAATTGCAGAAGATTATCCAAGATCACAAGAGGTCGATGATGATGACAATTCAATTGAAAATTTGCAACCTAATGCAATAGCACATAAAAATGAACCGAAAGTACCAGTAGACGTTGATTTAGGAGAAAACACAAATAACAAACAAATTGCAGAAGATTATCCAAGATCGCAAGAGGTTGATGATGAAGACAATTCAATTGATAATTTGCAACCTAATGCAATAGCACATAAAAATGAACCGAAAGTACCAGTAGACGTTGATTTAGGAGATAATACAAATAACAAACAAATTGCAGAAGATTATCCAAGATCGCAAGAGGTTGATGATGAAGACAATTCAATTGATAATTTGCAACCTAATGCAATAGCACATAAAAATGAACCGAAAGTACCAGTAGACGTTGATTTAGGAGATAATACAAATAACAAACAAATTGCAGAAGATTATCCAAGATCGCAAGAGGTTGATGATGAAGACAGTTCAATTGATAATTTGCAACCTAATGCAATAGCACATAAAAATGAACCGAAAGTACCAGTAGATGTTGATTTAGGAGAAAACACAAATAACAAACAAATTGCAGAAGATTATCCAAGATCACAAGAGGTCGATGATGAAGACGACTCAATTGAAAATTTGCAACCTAATGCAATAGCACATAAAAATGAACCGAAAGTACCAGTAGATGTTGATTTAGAAGATAATACACATAACAAACAAATTGCAGAAGATTATCCAAGATCACAAGAGGTTGATGATGAAGACAGTTCAATTGATAATTTGCAACCTAATGCAATATTACATAAAAATGAACCGAAAGTACCAGTAGACGTTGATTTAGGAGATAATACAAATAACAAACAAATTGCAGAAGATTATCCAAGATCGCAAGAGGTTGATGATGAAGACAGTTCAATTGATAATTTGCAACCTAATGCAATATTACATAAAAATGAACCGAAAGTACCAGTAGACGTTGATTTAGGAGATAATACAAATAACAAACAAATTGCAGAAGATTATCCAAGATCGCAAGAGGTTGATGATGAAGACAGTTCAATTGATAATTTGCAACCTAATGCAATATTACATAAAAATGAACCGAAAGTACCAGTAGATGTTGATTTAGGAGAAAACACAAATAACAAACAAATTGCAGAAGATTATCCAAGATCACAAGAGGGTGATGATGAAGATAAAATTTCTGAAAAAACTCAAGAGAACGATAGTATAAATGAATCTTCTGGTATTCTTCCTGGTAATAAGGACGATGGTATCCTCATAAATGCCAGTGTGTCAAATCCGGTGTCGGTCGAAAATATTCCAGATGAAGGTTCAGAGAGCATTTTGCATTTTCCAGAAACTGCAGAACAGCCCCGCAATGAAATGGACCCACATCATGATAAAATAGCAACGAATCAAGTTTTTGACAATGCGTTTGAGCCAAGCATGAGTACAGAAAATATTGAACAAGATAAAAAAGAAAACCCTAATTTAAATAGTACTCAAAACATTATTCCAAAAATTGACAAAGAAAGTCTGAATAAAGATCAAGAAAACGACGATTCAGAATTATTAGACAGTGTTGAAAATGCTATTCCTAGTGTTGTGCAAAATAAAAAAATAGTAAACTCTGTTCTAAGTAGTGAAGAATTTGACGAAGATGACGGAGATAGTCTTGATGAAATGAAAAATAATAAAGGCTCAGAGAGCATTTTGCATTCTCCAGAAACTGCAGAACAGCCCCGCAATGAAATGGACCCACATCATGATAAAATAGCAACCGATCAAGTTTTTGACAATGCGTTTAAACCAAGCATGAGTACAGTTAATGTTGAACAAGATAAAAAAGAAAACCCTACTTTAAATAGTACACAAAACATCATTCCAAAAATTGACAAAGAAAGTCTGAATAAGGATCAAGAAAACGACGATTCAGAATTATTAGACAGTGTTGAAAATGCTATTCCTAGTGTTGTGCAAAATAAAAAAATAGTAAACTCTGTTCTAAGTAGTGAAGAATTTGACGAAGACGACGGAGATAGTCTTGATGAAATGAAAAATAATAAAGGCTCAGAGAGCATTTTGCATTCTCCAGAAACTGCAGAGCAGCCCCGCAATGAAATGGACCCACATCATGATAAAATAGCAACGGATCAAGTTTTTGACAATGCGTTTAAGCCAAGCATGAGTACAGAAAATATTGAACAAGATAAAAAAGAAAACCCTAATTTAAATAGTACACAAAACATTATTCCAAAAATTGACAAAGAAAGTCTGAATAAGGATCAAGAAAACGACGATTCAGAATTATTAGACAGTGTTGAAAATGCTATTCCTAGTGTTGTGCAAAATAAAAAAATAGTAAACTCTGTTCTAAGTAGTGAAGAATTTGACAAAGATGACGGAGATAGTCTTGATGAAATGAAAAATAATAAAGGCTCGGAGAGCATTTTGCATTCTCCAGAAACTGCAGAACAGCCCCGCAATGAAATGGACCCACATCATGATAAAATAGCAACGGATCAAGTTTTTGACAATGCGTTTAAACCAAGCATGAGTACAGTTAATGATGAACAAGATAAAGAAGAAAACCCTAATTTAAATAGTACACAAAACATTATTCCAAAAATTGACAAAGAAAGTCTGAATAAGGATCAAGAAAACGACGATTCAGAATTATTAGACAGTGTTGAAAATGCTATTCCTAGTGTTGTGCAAAATAAAAAAATAGTGAGTCCTGTTCTAAGTAGTGAAGAATTTGACGGAGATGACGAAGAAAGCCTTGATCAAGTGAAAACTAATACATTTAAATCTAGCTCAAGACCGGATATCTTAGAAACGCCCAATTTAAATGGTGCAAATCCTGTCATACCCACTCCTGTACAAGAAATTATGCCAAACACCTTACTAGACGACCAAATAAGTACTGAAGTTAAGCTACCTAGCTTAGATGAAAAAGATCCAATTAATAAGAAAATAGTCCACACAGAACCGTATAATGAAGGATTAAATAAGGGACATGCAATTCCTGATAAGAATGCTAATATAATTGCTGAGCCTGTATTGTCAAATTTAGAAGGAGATAGCAGTGAAGCTCTGTTAGGAGAAAGTATACCAAAAATCAATAAAGAAATCCATAAGTCGAGTGAAGGGAATGGTAGTACTGAAGTGTTGGACAGTGTTGAAAATGTCACTCCTAGTGTTACGCAAAATGAAAATCTACCAAAGTCGGTTGTAAGTAGCAAAGAATATGAAGGAGACCAACCTGGCAGTCAAGATAAAATTAAAAATAATGATGACAAAGAAAATGTATTGAAAAATCTTTCAGGTGAAGAACAGCTTAATAATAAAATCGATATGGACAATAATAACAGAGCAGACGTTGGGGACAATACAATTACTGGGGACCCAACTGAAGTCAATCATGATAAATATGAATTGCCAAGTGTAGATGATGCGCAGAGTCGTTTACACGACAACGAGTTAAAAAATAGTTTAGAATCAGGTGATTTAGTTAAACCAGAACAAGATAGTCAAGACATGCCTGGTGATACGAAGTATAATACAATTACTGAACCTATACATGAGATTCCAGAAATTAATGGTAAGGAACCCTTGCTAAATAAAATACCCGAAACCAATAATGAAAACCTTACAAACAATAAATTAAACAATAGTTCTGAAATAACAAACAACGTTGATGATGCTAAACCTAGTTTTGATAATCAAAAAATAGTCAACCCTATAGAAAGTAGTAACGAATATAATGAAGAACCGAAAAGTCAGGCTGAACCAAATAATGAAGACCAACAAATAATAACGAAAATTCCTTTATCTGAAGAACAGCCTAATAATGAAGTTAATGCTGGCAAATATAATGAAACACCTTATTTGAATAACGAGACTGTCGTCAGTCCTTTGGGAGAAAATATGTCAGAACATATTCCGACTGAAGATGATTTAAGCGATAAAGACAGAATATTTAGTCCGGTCGAAGGAGGTTCTAATAATAGTGTCGAGTTTGATAAGCAACCACGAGATGGCAATCGAAATGAGCTCGAATCACCCCTTTCGACCAGTACAATTGCACCAGACTTTGTACTTATTAATGATATAGCCGAAGAAATGCCACCTAAATCTGAAATCGAGAGTAACGCCGATGAAGAAAAACCGGAAGTACCGTTTGAACAACCAAATAAAAATGACGGTAAAAAAGTTAAAGCGAAGAGATATAGAAAACGTCGAATAACTTATTTGATTAACAAAACAACGGGAAAACGAACAGCTGTTAAAGAAGAGATCATTCCGATCGACACTGACAAAACACCAAAAGTTTCTACTGAAAATGAAATCGTTAACCAAGATGAACCTAAAAATGCTGATGAAATCGACAACCAAGATGAACCTAAAACTGCTGATGAAATCGACAACCAAGATGAACCTAAAACTGCCGACAAAGACGATTCAAATTTGGTAATAAATACAATTTTTATTTATCTGATTTGTAGATTTACGGGGAAGTAAATAAGGGGTCGTAATTTAGATAAAATTGTCCACCGCAAACTACCTTACAATTTTTTAAGATTGAAGATAGAATGGTTAGTTTTAAATAAATCGCCCAGTACTATTATTGCATGCTTTTTGGTGCTAAAAGATTAAGTGTTATGCTCATATCTGATCTCAAAAAAAAAAACTAATAATTATCAAAAACGAACAATTTTAATGAACGCATTGAAATTGCGCTTTTTTAAATGAAGTGAAGCTTAATCTTTAACAAAATAGATTGTGGGGATTTCCCTGAGAGTATTACATAACTTGTTTTTCATAAAATACTAACCACTGAACTCAATATATGGAACGCTTATTGCCTATAGTCGGCTGCTTATGAAAATGTCTACTAGTAGGAGGCTGCCATTTTGTGAACAGATGTTGTTTTGTCTATGATATTTATTGTTCTTTCATCATCTAACCTAACATTTCTTTACTTTCTATGAAATTGGTACACACAATGGCTCTCTCCGAGGTCGGGACATTTTTCAATCTGAATACGCGTTCCATATATTGAGTTTAGCGATACTCGCTTAAACCCGTTTTTGTCCACACCCATGAATATTGTGTCGTTTTAATTGTCCGAACAATCTTTATTTTTAGCTTAACAGCTTCAAGAGCCATAACTGCCAGCATAACTTCCTTCCATCTATCTCTCACACGAATGGATTCTTCTTGTTTAATTCCGTCTATAGCTTTCTAGATCTCCTCCGTGGTCTTTTTGCTGTCAGCAGTGCCGCAACTACCGCCGGTGCAGGCGGTGCATCGCACCGCCAGACAAGCCTCCGGGTTATGTTTAAGGGGCCTCATATTTATGAAGATATAACAATTCAAGTCTAAACATTCATTTCTTAAAACAAGGTTTAAACAATTTTTAGTATTCGATTGTGTATTTTTAATGATGCCACTTGAATATCTACATTGGCCATTGGATTTAAAATTGATAAATTTTATTTTGTTTCTGTAGTTATCGATATTATGATTATATGACCACTCGATAGCCAAACGTGTGTCGTATAAATAAAGGCTATAAATATTTATATAAAAATTAAATGGAGACCAAACACAGATAACCACCTTATTTAAGAAAAAAAACTATTCCATTTATTTCCATGTATTATCTAATAACAGGAGTGATAAGTTTCCAAAACTATATATAGATTAATTGTATTATGATACTATCTACGCACCCGCACCCAGCTGCTGCACATCTATTGGACTAAAAAAAAAAATTGAATCATTTGAGTTTATTTTATTACTAACAATCTGGGAAAATATATTAAGGAACTTCCATTTAGTATCTAAAAAATTACAGAGCCCAAATACAAATCTTCATGATGCATGTACATTTTTAAAGGAGGCTTCTTCTTCTATTATAAGTTTAAGGGATCATTATAAAGAGCTAGTTGCTTCTGAAAGTGAGCAATGTAATAAGTGGAATATACCAATCCAAAAAACTATTCGTCGCCGTGTGTATTCAAAAAAGATTTTTGGTGATGTTGCCGGTGATAGAAGACTCGATAGTTCTGAAGACAATCTTCGTGTGATGGTTTTTTTACCAGTTATAGATACAGCAATTTTACAACTTCAAGAAAGATTCAAAGGATTATTATTTAAAGGATTATTTGAGGTTACTAAAAGATTTGAATTTCTGGTACCGCATAATATATTATCATTTAGTGAAGAAGATATCACAAAAGCATCTTAGGACTTTCAAATATTTTACAAACATGATTTAAGTACTGATATAACAAGGCAAATTCTATCCCTTAAATCTATATTAAAGGATTCATTAAAAAATTTACATTGTATTAAACACCTTTTACAATGTATTTTAGAAAATGATATGGCCTCTATGTACAATGATATTTTTAGTGCATGTATCATATTTATAACATTGCCAGTTACTGTAGCCAATGCAGAAAGATCGTTTTCAAAATTAAAAATCATAAAAAACTACTTAAGAAATTCAATGTTTCAAGATCGCCTGATAAACATAAGTATTTTAAATATTGAACGAGGAAGAACAAAAGAATTGGATATAAACAAAATAATTCAAATATTTGCTACTAAAAAAGCAAGAAAACAAATTTTCTTAAATAAACCAAAATTGAATTACAATTATTGTTACATACATTTTTTTTTTGACATGTTATAACTTATACACATATTTAAATCATAATATGTTTCAAGATTTGTTTGTTTTTGTAATAAACTGATTTATACACGTATGTAACAAGTATAAAGGTAATTAAAAAAAAAAGTATTCAAGCGTTTAAGTTGAAGCTACCTGCCAATTATAGTTCAGCTCTTATTAAGATTAAGTAAGTATTAAATAGGGTTTAACTTTAGTTTTATAATTGGGGACCCTACAAAACTTTGGGTGAGCATTATAGTAAATAGGGGCCTCTAAAATCAGCCTGCACCAGGGCCTCTATAATGGTAGTTGCGGCACTGGCTGTCAGGGTCCATTCCATAGCTGCTTTGATTCCATTTCCCGGCAATAATAATGATTTTTTTTTCGCTTTTAGCTCTATAACAGTAACGCAGAACAGTGTAAAATCACGGCGTACGAGGAACTTACGAAGATAGCGTCGTACGATATTAAAAAGTTGGTCTTCTCCATTGGACTGCTGTCGAGCAAGCTACGGAACAACGTCATGTCAGACATCAAACAGGCGAATAATGATGTTAAACAATCGGATCTCAGAGGCCAGGTGGACCAGGTGGTGGAGAGAACGAGAAAAGCGATCGACGTTAACTTCGAGCAATCGATCGGCGAAATGAGGGAAAAACTCGTTTTACTGGCTCAGAAATTCGTGGAGACCACGAACGGCCTAAAAAACACTTACAAGGTGAGACCGCGAACTACACACGAAATGCTAAGTTCGATCACGGTCGACCCATTGCCAGTGTCGGAAACGGCGGGGGCTGCTTTGAGTATCATTTCGCCACAGTTCAACATAGACAAAGCGGTAAGGCGGATACTCGAAGCACGGCCCTCGGGTCGGGTGAAGAATTTGCATGACAAAAAATACGACACTCAGAGGAAACTGATCGACCTGTCCAGATTGATGGACACAGCGGTTAATAATTTCGAATGTTTGATGTTGTCGGTAATCAACGAAATCGGCATAGGAGTAGACACGTTAAAAGTGCTTAACTCCAGCAAACTGATGATGAGCTCACAAAATCCACGAGCAAAGGCCCTAAAGAACGCCATGACCATCGTCCAGGAGATCCTAGGTAGAGCGTCCGGAAACCAGTCGGGTGCTTCGGCGAAGTTTGCTAACAGAAGTATAGATTCTGAACCCGTCGCGGATATGAAGAATAAGCAAAAGCCGGTAGGAGTGATCGTAGTGCACCCTGACATGACCATCAGGTACAAGCAATTGCCCGGCAATAAAGAATTGAAAAAATTCGTTGCCGAAGAGTCGAAACCGTATAAAAAAGGCAAAACGAAAGTTAGTCCCAAGTTCCTCGAAGTGGATAACAAAAAACTTATCCAAAACATAATCAACGACACCAAGAAAAGAGCAAAGCAAGCAGGAATGACCGATGCAGAAACCGTTAACGAAATCGTACGAAAATTAAATACTAAACATTAACTCGAGTAAAACATCTGTATTAATACCTACTTTTGAAATGTTTCTCATCTTATTATAAACCTTTTAAGATGATGAGAGTAAGACAACCTAACTAAGACTAGATATTTTTGGAATACAAAAATAATAAAAATTTCTCAAGTCTCATTTACACAATATTATACCAAAAAAAAATATTCTAAAAACACTTAAACTTACTTTGTATACTAATTATTTAATATATATTAAATCTAAGTCATTGTTGTGTAGGTATAATCAAATTTTCTACCATAATTATTTAAAAAGTATTTACACACAACAATAATTCAGTAAATCATTTGTACACAACTCGGTTAATTATAAAAACCAAACAGTATTTATTTTTAGTTTCTTACCCTTAAAAATAAATATCCGATAGCAGAAATCGTATCTAGTATTCCTAATTTTAAACTAATCACGTTGTATTAATATAATAATCATTATACAAAGTATAAATATATATGTTTTTTTTTTAATATTAAATTGTTATTACCTATTTTAACACAATAAAACAAATTATTAAAAAAAAGATTAATCCCGTAAACACCTAAAATAAAAATGGTTACAAAAATCATTATTATATTCCAAACGATAGTTTTTTTAATTATATTCGTATAGTAATTACAATCTATGTGGTGAAAGAATACAAAATATAAGTAGATACTTGGTACCTACTATGTATAAGTTATAACGTAAAAAATCTTGTTCAATACGTTTTATAAATAAATTTGACACAATATTATAAAATCGATACTGTGCGTGCACTATTATAACTTTAAGCACTTTTGGCCTGCGCTGAAGTCTTTTTGGATTTATTCGACTTTAATGTGTTTTTCAATATACTGGAATCAAAATGATTTGGCGGGGACGTTCCATCGTCGTTTGATTGTCCAATCGCTGGTATGGGCTCCGTCACGTTTAAATGTGGGGCGACCAGGTTCATAAAAAACTGAAAGTTCATACAACAGAAAAGATAACATTATTAGTCTTCAATACGGAGCACAGAAGGTATTAGTTGTACAGTGTTATATTTTTATTTGTGTGTTTGGACCCACGATATATTAGTTATAATCACTGAACCTTCGGACCGACTTCTTCATATAACATGTCTTTAGATTAGAAATCGTACACAATAGGAATTTTAAAAGGTTAAGATTGAAAACCATTTACTTTCTTTCCTTCAAAAATGAAAAAAAAAATTCTAAAAATGTACACATTTTTCTACTTGTTACGACACGCAACAATTGACTGAAAAATAATCGAATTCACTTCTAAACTTATATCGAATATTATTTATAATACCTACTAGAAAATATTTAGTGGTAGAAATGTTTTCTTTATTTCTCTTTTTTAAGAGTAGTTTTAGGAATGATAGTCTGAAAATTAGACTGAGTTGTCAAATCTAGTGTGATTCTTTACATATATACATTTTTTTTTAATTGATTTACTTTTAATTTTTTTTATATATTATGAAAAAACAGAAATTTTTTTTATAAAACCTAATATTGTTACCTCTCGCTATTTACTTACTGTGATTTGTGTTAGTATTTAATTTTTTTGTCATTTATACAGGGTTTACATCAATTTAACAGCTTAAGACACGTTATTTTTTTGAAATAATAGTCAATCTATATTTATTTAAAAAAAATACATTATTGTTATTTTTTTTAGAATAATATACATTTTCTGTTTGTATTAGTTACAATGTTCTGTAGAAATGAATGCCACACCTACCTTACCATTGTTCTTTTTTTTTGAAAACTAAAAATTTCAGTCACACTATTTTTTTTATCTAGGGAACCCCAAAAAATCAAATTACACGATTATTAGGACATTTATTAATTTTTACTATCTACTTATTCGCATCAATGCGTTTATATTTTGAAAGTTATGAGACACCTGTGACCTCCCCGACCCCACTGAGCTGGCTTATTTGTTGTGTTGCGTACCTCTCCAATTGGTGTAAGGCCCAAGTCGGTGAATTTCAACTGCCAGTGCGGTAAACCCATGTGCACCAGAGCTTTTCTAAAGTAGTTACTGAAATTGGGAGCCAAAAAATGCCAACAATAAGAAGTGTCCATCAGCCACACCGACGCTCTGCTTGGTTCCTCGTGTAAATGGAAGTCCGGGTTGCACTTAATTGCTGGCGTCACGGCGTTCTCGTCCAAGTATACCAAGCAAATGTGGCCCACATCTAAACTGGAGTCCAGCTCGAAAATTGTATTCACTGTAAAATTTGGCGTATTTTCGCCAGACAATCTGTCCAGCATTTGCAGATCACGCATGACGCTCATGTCTACCGAATCTGATTTAACGTCGCACAGCCGGATCAGATCGGACAGCGGGTTTATCGTAATGTTACCAATAGGCAGACCAGAGTTAGCTGAAGTTTCAGAAAGAATACCTAAAACACCACATAACTACATTAGAAAGTTTTTTTCGTTAAAAATGGAAATTACATTACCGTCTATTTTGTATGACCAAGTGAGCTTGAAGCCGTCGCATGAAGAATAAAATTGCCGTACGTCGTCCGGCAATACACATGCGTTCCGTTGTTCCCATGCGGTTATTTTGGCTTTATCGCAAGGCAAAAATTGTTTTATAGTCACGTTGTTCACGCCGTGAGTATTCTCTAGAAATCCAAGTACAATTCATTAAAACCTTAATTAGCTGTGCATTGCTCATAGCTCTACATTGTGTAGCTATATAAAAGGTATTAATTTATGATAGTTAACTCACCGAGAACTCCCAGCAGTCCTAGAGTGACTTGATCGTTAAACAAATCCGAAGTGACCAAATCCAATTTATTCGTTGTCATATTCACTGTTGGTAACTTATTGTAGGTTAAGATAAAAACTAACAAACTTCAACGCTTTTGTTATTGACAGATATGAGTGTTGTTATGGTAACCAACAACTTACAAGTTCTTCATAAAAAAATTAATTATACATTTAACTTACTGAGAAATCACATATATTATTAAAGTTATTTTAGGCATTATAGACAAATTTGACTGTTTTGTAACACATGAAAAGAACTTGTACTTTTTATGGAAAATTGTTTTTAAAATAATTGCATACATTGAATGTGTATCATTATAATATGTTTATTATAAACAAAACAATAGATTTATTTATTCATAAATACATAGACGATAATACACAAATAGTATATAAAATGTAACAAATATAAAACGAAATATATTTTAAATAATAATTATTCAGTCCTACATCAGCTAATGTAATGGATAAAACTATCCTTGCATCGGACGTTTTGTTTCCACGGTAACCATGACATTGGTCACATGGAATGTCAAACAGAACACACCCAGATATTATATAGAAAATAGTAAAGCTTAGGTGTACTCACATAAGTAGACTAAAGCTCAAAATTGAGCCAATATCACTTAACAAAAAACTTAATATTTATCGATTTTACCGCTAAACAATTATAGGCAAAGTAACTGATTTTTTTTATACTAATAGTTAATTTTAATAGTATAAAATATTTATAACAAATAATTATTTAATAAAGGCAAGAATATAATTAAACAGTTCAAGTGTACATAGACATAGTGTACATAAACTATAGGCATTAAGAAAAAAAATCCAATAAACAAATTTAAAATAAATTATTTTCCAGATATGTTGAGTTCTTTAAAGCTTTATCGGCAAATTTTTCGTTTTTTCCAAAACATAAGCAGTAAAACGCTTCAAAAATTTTGGATACTCTCTTTTGTATACAGCTCGTAGTACAGATGATGGCGCCCATCCTCCAGGGTTTACTGGAAAACATAAATTCATTTAATTTATGGTAAATTGCAAAAAATGTCTTAAAATAAAATAAACAGCTAACCTAATATTTTATAATTTACTTTTTTCACCATTTACTTTAACTATACAATGTAAGTCCTTAGTTGGCCAAAAATGTATAGCAGAATGCAAAAGATGGCAATATTACTTTTTCAAACTAAAAGTTTACATCTTAGCTACAAATTTATATTTTGTAATTTTTCAATAAATTTATTTGTATTTAATAAGTATTGATAAAAAGTATAATATATTAGATTTTATGCAACTTTCCAATTTGAAGCAATTTATGACTTTATCCTAATAAGAGTGCCGTAATTTTAAGTTTTTAAATGTGTTAATTTTTTAGGTGTTTTTTACAATTTTGAAGGGAAGGTATGACTGTTTAAATATTTGGTCCAATAAAAAATCATGTGGGTCGGCACAAAAAAAAAAGTAAATAAAAACACATCATTCTAAAACAGCTTTCAGCTCCGCATTGATGAAGTTAAAATAATAAAAAATTAAAGTTATGTTAAACCGGAATTTTACTATATTAAAAATTAAATGAACTGTTATTCACCTATTATTATTTAATGTCAGGTTTGTTCAAATAATAATTTTAAATGGGGCATAATATATGGCTTAAATTTGTTTTACTTAGTATAATAATATTAATATTGTAGGAAAATTTTTATTCAAATAATATTACAATGTAAATTATTACGAGTACTTACCAACTGCACAATAGGTAATTTTACACGTAATATCGTCACGAGTCAATTCTCGTCCTTTGGCAGCAGGCGAAATCACTGTTTGACCCATGAGGATAATAGTAAGATAAATACGCACAAGTTTTCCTTCATTAGCCTGAAAATAAAGAATAAAATAAACAATTATAAGTGAAAATGGTTTAATCTGAAAAAAAAAAAAATTGAGAAAACTAAATTCATCATACTGGATATGAAGATAATTCTACTGAATTATTTACAACTGCCCAAATATGTGGGCTATCGTCAGACTTATTTTCTTCGTCAGGAACATGTGTGAGATGAGACCAAAACGTTGCATCGCGCTGCGCTGTTGGCCATATACGTTTGTGTATTTGATGAAATACTATCGTGTCCTCGGCAATTTTATCGACTACATTCATTGTTTCCAACGTACCTTTAATAACAAACAAAACAATATTACAGCTAAATTTATTTTGGTAATTCGGTGATACAATCATTTACCTTCCCAGTCATAACGATACTCAGGATAAAAGAAATAATGCAACAGTTCTCGGCCTGTGATGCCTTTAACTTGGTGGGTTGCTTTCAAAGGATCTACAACCATGCCGTCTTCTTCCACTTCTCTACGATACATACGCATTTCACCGTCTTCAACGAATAACTGCCAAGCTCCTTTTCCAAGACCCATTCTCGCCGACAGGATTTGTTCGGAAACGACCCGTTCGATCTTATTTAAAAATTTTATTATTTGTCGTTATTTATTACATACAACTACTTTATTAAATATACAATCGTGAAACTGATATATTTTATGAATATTATTAACTTACATCTGGCCAATACTGATGTTTCAGAGATGCGTCTGTTGCCGCAGCCCTGATGTAAGTGGCCCAATTGACTTGTGTGCTTTGCATAGGGTTGGTCTTGGATCGCGTTAATAGTTGGTCTTTTATTTGTTTGGCGTCTTCAATAGGATTTTCATTTGACGATTCGACAGCATCATAGAACTCATCGTCGGTAATTGTAGAATGTTCCTTAAAATTAAAATAATTAATGTTATAAAACCAAGAAACAATTATTACAATTTATGTGTGTGAAGATTAGGCCTAATAAACGTTGGTGCATTTCAAATATATCCATTTAAGTAATGAAATTATCATAATTAACACTTGTTCATAACACATGTAATATCACAAAATACAAACGACAGAAAAAAAAAACACTGTAAAGTGCTACATTTAATAGGTTATCATATGTCAAATAACATTCAACAATCAAGTGATATAAGTATATGAAATATAGCAACTAGATTTTGCAATATTGTAAATCTCTTTAATAGATTAACAATGAGAACAAAACAAATTAATAATGTTTGTTCAGACTCGTGTTTATTTTAATTGCATAGAAATACATTTAAAAATAAACTCATTAATTTCAACAATAACCAATGAACAAGTTCTTTGAATAAACAAAAAGAAGACAGTCTGTGCATGTTCAGTATTAGGAAATTAGTTAAGTTTTTTTTTAACCTTTTACAATTTAACGTTAAAATAAATTATAAAAATTGTAACTAAATTAAAGGGTGACATTGTTTTTTTTCTTTAAATCACTATTAAACTTACATTAACATAGTAAGGTAACAATATTTTGATCATACGCTATATGGAAAAGTTTTAGCAGTCAACTAAATGTTAACGATAATTTAAATCATATTACCAAACTCCTTTGGTCTGGAAGTAAAATTTGTTTTAAAAAGGTAAGTAAATAATTTACTTGAAACTCAACAAAAAGTTGTTTGTAAAAAGTATTTCAATAATCAATTTATTTATTAAATTGGGGATAATTTTTGTATATTATATAATAAATATTTAGGAATATAAAAAACTAGTGCAATTTTGATGTAGAAATACTAATATTTTAATAATTATTAAAAATATATTATATTTAAGAATTAATGCCCAAGTAGTTATTTTAAATTAAAGTAGCTATTGAATTAAATTATTTTATAAAAACAATAAAAATATTACCTTTTTTGAAATTGAATTCATTTTGATGTGTTCACAAATCAACAGTTTATTTAAAACTGTTGAATAAAAATTATAGTTACATACAATAGGTGAAGTAAATGATATGACTAACAAGTACAACTAAACGGCACAGAGTTCAGAAGTAGTACTCAATATTTTTATCTCGTATGGTTATATTATAATCAAGTGATATATTATGTTGTATTTGGACTATGACCAGTTCAATATATATGACCTTGTTATGTAAATTTAAGACCCATATCAAGTGCTTTACAATATGATGTGTATGTAAATGTTAAATTAAAAACCTGTTGTAAAATTTTCCTCAATATAAAACTTAGTTTAAATAATATCTAATTTTTAAATGTGTAGGTTTTTATTTATCTTTAAGGAATGAATAAAAAAAACTTACTGTCAGTTCTGCTCCGGCAAGAACTTGAGCTCTTTCTTGATCGGTAAGGCCATCAACTAGAGATAAAGTTCTGACGACTTCTTCTAAATGTTTTCGATTGTTCACTTCCTTTTCCAACATGGATTCCCATGATTCCTCTCTTTGGTTCATAACCTGATAAATGGGGGAGAAAATATATTATTTTATTATAAGGATTACCATTTAAATAACTTACTTCAATACAATGTTTAAGAATCTCTAGGATTCCAGAAGATGTAGCTTTAAATGCTACTGCTTCACCCTTGAAATCTAGAGCTTCACAAGTGTATTTTTGATACGTTTCCTTCTTTGTCAAATCTTCTGGTAACAAAAAAAAAGTAAAATAATAATAACTAGTATTAATTAGTTATAATAATTTAAATCATGAAGTATGCAAGTTATTTTATACTTTTATCTAATTTATGAGAGTTTGTTTTAATTTTGTAGTGTATAGTTATGTAATATTTTCAGGCAATGGGATTGTCACTTTTGGTTTTATTGAACAGGTGTTATAGATATATTGATCTATATAACGTAAAACTGTTTTTCATTGAAAGTAATTACGATTTTTTAGTTTTGAGACATTTTAGTTTATGTTATTTTAAAATCTTTTTTTTTTTTACTTAACTCTAGAGCTTTGTCAAATTTTAAAACTTAGTGAAAAAACTTAAAATTTTTAAATTAAGAATAAATAAAAATATTTATTGGTCGATAACTAGTTTTGAATAGTTATTTTTTAGGTTAATGAAGTTTAAAAATCAAAAAGTGGAGTACGGCTGAGTAATGACTGCAGAAAATAAAAACAATACTTTACTTCACCCTTCCTCCCGTCCAAAATTTAAAACTTTAATACTTTTAACATACAATTTAAATAGCTATTCAAAACTTCTTTTCGACCAGCCAAAATGTTTGGTGAATAAATTAATAAAGTTCTAGATTTTATCAAAAAATTTAACAATTTTAATATTGTCTAATTCTGTCCAACAACACAAACTAAAATTTCTCTAAAATGTAAAACTACAATATTTACAATTATATCTAAACCACAAGAACATGATTTAGCTAACCAATATGAGATAAATGAAACAGACGTTATTTTTATAAGGTCCCGATTATTCATTAGTTCATAGGTTATAAATTATAATAATATGTATTAAAGCCTATAAACAGACATTGTATGCGAACTATTACGGTTTCAATTCTGAAATCACAAACATCTTTGACTAGTTTTTATTTCTAAATTTTTATAAATTTAGAAATTAATTAACATTTAAAGGGCCTACCATAATATTATCATGACCAACTAAATGATGTTAATAAAGAGCCAAATGCCAATAAAAGTCTACAACCCGGCAGTCGTCTATTAAACAATCAATTAGAAACAATTTATTCATAGACAGCGGAAATAAAATTGGCTATTAGGTATTATCATTATACATTTTACACTACATCCATACCTAATTATATTAACGTTCGATATAAAATCATTTTAATTACAAAACCGTAGACCGCAGAGATTAATTTCATCATTAATTTTTCACTAACGAAATTATATTTTATACGTACAGTTTAATGTAGGCATACTTAATCAGCTATGCCCTTTTACTAATTAATAGTCAAAATGTTTAATATAATTACTGATAATGAGCGATAACAAAAATGAATTTATACAACGCTGGAGTTTTACGATAGGAAATTCGAATAATTCAATTAATAAACAATGGATAATAATTGTTTGACCATGAAAATATCAACCGATATAGAAACGTAACAAAGGCCACGTGAACTTCAAATCAAAAAAAATCTAACAAGTACAATTGAAAAAAAAAAATGACGCCATTATTAATATTGTCAGTATTTGGCGTCAATTTGCAAAAAATTAAACATCAATTGTCAGATCAAGTTAAATAATGTTAAAAGCATTAAAAATAAACTAAAGACTATGGTAGAATAATCATAGGCTATTGTGTTTGTAATTCAAAGCACAATATTGCACCATTTACACTGTTAGGCAATGGAAATTTAGAAACGCACCTCTTTAAGTTCTCATTTTTTCGTTGGTGTACTTTTTCAAAACAATACTAATAAGAAGCAATATTACATCAACAGGAAAAATTGTGAGATATTGTCAAGACTTCGTCACATTGTGTATATATAAATACAATAAACATGCCTACTCCAATAAAATTAATCTTCTTTAACTAAGGAAATGCTAAATAAATTAAAAATATCTTACCCGCGTGCAGTCTTTTAAACAATAATTAAAGGAAAAACATTATTTCGAGTCAAGAGTACAACAAAAATAAAATAATAAATTATAATAGTTTAACGACAAAGAATGGCGTTTTTATGACGCCATTATACATTTATACATTTTTTAAATATTTAACTATGACGATTTTTTTAAAAGTGGACACTCAAAAAAAAATTATTCTATTAACGACTTGTGACGCTAAATTTATTTTTAACTAAAAAAACGAATGAGACTTATTTAAAAGATAAAAAGACCCCCCGATATTTTTTTTTTACTATTAACAAACGTGCACTGCGTAAATAAAGCTAACATTGCCCCAAAACAACAAAACAGGTTTTTAATAGTTTACAATGCATGCTTTGGTACGAATTTAAATGTATCAAAAATGATAACAAAAATTTAAATATTATTTATCGGAAAGTGTTTATACAGTATTTTGTAAAAACACATTTACGTGCCAAAACATCATTATGAAGTATGTAAAACGAATTAAAAACATGTTTAAAAACGTTTTGATAGTAATTAAATAATTTTCCAGTGTAGGCTATAGGTGTCCTCATTATATAAACTTACTTACCTTAGTTAAGCTATAAAATTAATTAAACGTTCACTATGGTGGTCATAAAATTTGCCATATCCTTATATTCAGCTGTTCTTGTTATCGGCTAATTAATTAGATACGTAAATACGTTTACAAAACAAAAATACCTACTTGAAACTTTAGTAAATGTTCAGTCGTATACACTTGGATAAGTACTCCGTAATAATAACATATTATAGTATACTATGGAGTATGATTAGTACGTACGTAGTGAACCACATGTTTTTTTATTTGTTTGTATACACACTACACAATATTATAATTTGGCAGTTGAACAGTAGATATATTTTTATCTCTGTAAGTCCCCATAGGCTATAATATAGGCACGTCACAACTCACAGTTATAAAAAAAACTGAATGTTCGCATTAAAGAAATACTCTTTTGTTAATTGTTTACAACAATATAACACGTTTTTCGATGTCAAAAAAAAAAAATGTATGGTAACATTACTGTCTTAACTTATTATGCTTATCGGTTATTACTCATTGGAACTAGAAGAAATATATATATATAATATAATTTAAGATAAAGTACACAGAGCTCCAGCAGGAGTACAACAATAACTTTGTATTAGATCATTCATTTTACTAATAAACGGTAGGTATGTAAAATTAATATACAATCGGTAGTTAAAAATCGACTGCACGTTTTCCGTTCATTAGTTACCAAGAAGACGATAATATAATATTAAGTAACAATACAATTTAATGTGATTTACACTTGAAAAATTATAACGTCCGACTTGTAGGTTAAAATCTTGTTGAAATAAACACTATCTATTCGATCACCGTTTACAAATACAATTGTTCATTTAATTTTGTTGTAGTAATTAGTGCAGGTAGATTTTTGCAATTAATAAAAAAAAAAAAGGTGTTCTGACACAAGCAGTACAAATATTATATGGAACCCAAACAATTTTGACCTTTGGTCGTGCTAAATGCTAATTATAAAAATAAACCCACCTAAGCTCCTTAGTCCCCCACCCTTGTTGCATCTACGAACAATAGATAAATGCACTAACATGCGGTTTAGGATTATATTGGATAAAGTTGAAAGGAAATCGATTATTAATACATTGAAATTAACAATATTTAACGATTTAATTTTTTTAAGTAATGAGCAAAACTGTAAATTGGCCACAATTTTTAACTACTAAAGAAAAACTTAAGGAAGGTAGGTATGTAAATATATAATATGTCTAAAATAATATTTGTCTTTCACGGAAAGCCTAGTTTTTTTATTATTAATCCAAATGAAATCTTTAATTTTTAAATATGCAAAAACTTATACTAAAGCTTATGCATAAGAAAATATATAAAAAGAGTAGAAAGCCATTATATTTATGGACAAACACAATGTCATTGATCGTTTAATAAGACCGAATCTATATTAATTAGTTTTACACTTATTAACTTATACTTAATTGATGTTTTATAGCTGTAACAAAGACAAAGCACCTTAATACTTTTCCTCTGTAATGAAATATAATTTATTTGTTCACACCAAATGATTTGTCATTGAGTTCAACAGTTCCACTTTCTCTAATTAGGAGTTATTTGCAAATCTGTTGGTTTAAGCAATGTTTACTGGGTACAATGTACAAATACTAGAATGGGAACTTTGATCGACAACATATAATACTAGTTTTATTTTTTTATACCTAATAATTAACTTTATTATTCTATCCTTTAATCTCACTAAGTTACTACAAACTAGTTCAAAAATAAATTAACACAACTCTCAAGAGTATAATTTAATCCAAACTAATCTAGGCTATTAATAACATTATACCAATGATATATACCAACGATAGTTGGTAATGAATTTTGTCAATAACATTACTCGTCAAGTCTAGTTTGTTTCAAATATTTTACTATTTAAATAAACGTTTTCATAAAATAACAAATCAACATATTATGTAACTTACCGTTAGAGGCTGCGAATTCCGCTAAGCAAGTATCAAAATACACCTGCAGTCTATCGATCTGATTGACTAGAATACCTCTGAACGTTGCTAGTTCGTTGAGTTTATCTTGTAACCCTTTATTCTTTTTGAACACTGGTGACAAAGTGGACATGTTACTCGATAACATTGAAAGAGAGCTGCCATTACGTTTCAAATTGTTTTCACTGCCGTAACCCGACTCTGCTTTGAATGAGTCAATAACGTCGATCCAATGGTTTTTCGTAGACTGTGAATCAGCTCGCAAGTACCACGCACAGTCATTAAGAGAGACGTCAAAACGACAATCGTCCACTTCGTGCACCTATGGACGGAAATTAATAAGGTAGAGTTTTCAGTGTTACAATCGAGTGTGCACTACCGGTTTATAAGGTTTACTTTAACTGTAGCCTTGAGTAAACTTATGGCGCCACGACAGCCGCACTCGGTCTCCGACGCAGATTTGAAATAAAGAAGAGTACCGTTTCTAAGGACGAAATATCGTTTTTGCCAACCGTGTAAGAAATTAGTCCACTTGTTTAGGTAGCCTTGCAGATCGATCCTCACACGGTCCTGCGAGTCGTCGTCATCTTCGTTGATTTGAGCTAAGGGACACTCTGCCATAACTAAGTGAAATAACTAATGTCACAATAGTATTGTGTTCTCATTAAATGGTGCTGCCCATTGGATGTTTCACCCGCATAACATGTTCAACTATAATTTAATATTGTACGAGTTCACCCACAATAACGATGGGTCATTGATAAACCACGCCTCGAATATAACACAGAAATGTATATATAAGTATGACATGTACGGCACTGCGTGTATCCATGTATAACTATAATATAAAAATATAATATTTATATTATCATTAAGTTACTTTTTGAAAGTATTACAAGAAACACACACGATATTTAAGTGAGTAATCGAATAAAAAAACTTTTATTGAATCCTTTATCAGTATTATCACTAACAATAACAGATATAGATAATACCTATATCTGTGCTAACAATTTGCTTGCCCATTGATTGCAGTGTGACCACTACAAGCAGCGATACAATACCGTAACAAAAAATGAAGTTTACTTGAGATCCTACGAGAAACTTTTTTCAATTTTGAATTTTTATCCTTTACAAATTTGATTTTAAAATTTAAAATTTTATGAAATGTTCAAACGTTTTTTATTCATAGTAAGAAAAATATATTAAAAAAGTACCTTGTAGGATCTGTTTTCAGATTACTAATCGTATCACTGGTGGTTCGGCCAGTGCGATGGATAAAAAATGTAATATTATATTAACTAAAATGGCTTTTACTTATAGACAAAATGATTTAAATTTGAAATAATACCACGAAGCTTATACAAATTAACCGGTAAATTAATTGACAAGGTCGAAATTTATTAAAAACACTTTTTTCTTAAATATTGCCTACACAAAACTCCTTAAAAATGGTCGCTATCGAATCCCCTTAAGGACGCTCACACGGGCCATTTTTAAGGAGTAAAGTGTAGGCAATTTTTATAAATAAGTTAAGGGCCTTTACACCACACTCTACATATTTTTGATTGAAAACAACTCATTCTATTTTTAAACACACTGTTTCTAAGAATACTTCGATTTAAGTTTTTTAATTCTTCATAACATTTTCATGGTATCGATCGTGGTATAATTTTTAAATTATGTTTTGTTAATTAATTATTTCAGTTTAAAAGTTATTTTATTCAAAAGTTAAAAATTGCAAATTAATACAATGAAATAATGAATTAACTAAAAATAATTTTAAAATTGTGCCACGATCGATGCCTTGAAAATATTAGGAAGTATTCATATGTTTTTACAAAACTTAAATCAGAGTATTTTTAGGGTAAGTTCTTTTCGAAGTAGAAACATATTATGTTTTTGTACAAAAACAGATCCTATATGAGTTATAAAAATCGAAGAAAATATTAAATATCAAAATGGTTCCTTCTTTCCTATTGGAGTATGTACGTTTAAAAAATTGTAGCTTAATGTTAGGTTTTATTCAAAAATTGCCTATACAATGCGCCCTAATAAATTATGGTGTAGAGGCTAACACATTATAGTTGAACTTTAGAGTTAATTATTTTTAACTCAATAATAAATAACATACTTAAGAATATATTGATGTGACCCCATTTTTAAGGTTAGACTGTTTCCCTAATTAACGAGAAACAATTTGTTTGGACTTAAATTCGGAAACATCAATTATCGACTTATTGAAAAAAAAAATAACGGATCGCGTATTTGGTGTTGACCCTATTCTGTAATCACTCTCTATTCAGTGTATATTTTATAAATAAACTCATGGGGTTTTTAATGAGTATTTTAATTTTTTATATTAGCTATCCCAACCTAAATTATAAATTTTGTTCTAAATAAACAGCCCGTCGGTTTTAAAGTATAGATTTACTAAAAAATTCAGGCAAACGGTTTTATAATTTCTTTTTATACTATTTTGCTTTTTCCGTTCACCTCAAAGAAAATAGTTGAAAATAATTAATAGTACGTTTTCACTAGTCGATTTGTATTTAACTAAATAAAAAAAAACAAGGAATTGTAAAAAGTTTTTAACTACTACTATAATCTATGTATGTATGAGCAAACAATATAAAATGAAGCTTTTATTGTATTGTCTGCACTTTGTCAAAACACCTATGACCATTGGCGTTCATTGGGTGGGAAAGGAGAAGTGATGGGGATGTATTGCAATTAAAATATTTAACATACTGAAGTATTTTCTCAATTAAGGTATACGGCAAAAATAAAACGGCCCTATTACTTTTTACTGACCTTTTGAGTTTCTAGTAACTTTTTGTCAATATTGATAGGTCGTATTGAAATAATTACAACAATTGGTATATAATATTATGTCGTCGAGTAATGCAAATATTATATAGGTCTACTTTCTATATACTTAATGTAATCTGTTCGGTGAGGCGTACACGAGTGCATACAAAATGAACAACTACAGGCTGTCGCTAATGATCATTTATTTAATTCTCCTTCTGTTATGCGGCTGTATTTATAAGGTGTACTCCAAAGCGGCGTATTCTCTGGTATGTAGATTAAGTAGGACATATATTTTAGTGTTCAGCGCTGTTTATTGTAAAATTAATTTAACCATGTACATTAATATATTATAATATACTGAGCGCTGCTGTAACGCCAAGAGGTATTGTGTTCGTTCAACAGACTCGAATGAAACGAACAAAACGACACAACTCCGCGGACTACGACACCGATGTCAACTTTAAGAGAGTTGCAAAGTAAAATTTAAAACACTTCGAAAACGCACAAAGACTTAACAGAAGTTTTTTGTGTAAATGTATACCTATGCCGAAAAAAAGTAAATACAAGAAAACCACTCTTGAAAACATTCAATGCATCAGATACAAGTTCAAACTTTTATTCGAATGTCATTATTCATTTAGACGTCACACGACTTGGTGGACGATTTAAATAATTTATTTTGAACATAAAAAAAATACACTTTTATACCTATTTTATTCTTTTTTTTTTTTTTACACAACAACACAGTTTTTACCTATAATAATTATATAAAATATTTATAGGCTATAAGTTAGGACTTTAAAAGGGTTAGGGCTAAATTGATGAAGACTAGAAAAATAAAATATATTTTTTTAATCTTGTGTTAAAATTATTTTAAAAACAATGAAAATAAAACCAGTTACAAGTTGAAACTTTTATTCGAATGTCATTTTTTTAAACGTTACTCGCCTATGACTGTGTTAATTATATATAACATTTCAATTAGTTTTTAGTACAATTATTTTTTACTTATTTCAATAAATAGTTGATTCGTTAGTAAATGAGACCTAAAGAATAGTTAAAACAACGTTATACGGAATTCCTTTCATGATTCTTTTAAAATATTTTTTTAATGCCCAACTTATTAAACAGCTTGTTTAAAACGAGTTCAGACATTTTCACCGTTAATTATGCAGAAACAGATATACTTTTTAACATACGAGTTATTTGAATTGGCTTTAACGTGATGAGTTTAATTATTCTTCAAGTAATCTTTTATCTTGTCATTATTGTACAATAATACAATATAAAACTATTTACATATTATGGTTTTTTTCAGTATGTGACATATTTTTGCGCCCACAGTACGTAAGTAAAACGTTAATTAATTGTTATATTGTTGTTGTGGTTATTTTTAAAAGGTTTTAAAGATAACGGTGTACTGCCAGTACAAAATATTATGTTTTATACATTCAATTTAATTAAAAATATATACTTAGTTTGTAAGCGGCTTATTTAAAACATTATTTAAAATTTGTGTTTAACTAAGCTTTTTTTTTTTAAGTCAAACTATAATATCTTACACAACAATAATACATAATCTAATTATTTAATTAAAAATTGTATTTTTTTAAAATAATCTTCTAAATAATTAACTTCATGTTTTAGTATCTTTTAATATTTGATTACTTAACTAATAGGTTAGTTGTTATTTGACGGTTTAAAATTCTTAAAAAACGGTTGTTTGCTAATTATTGGCATATTATTGCATTGTTTATAGCACAGTTTTCTTAGTGCTTGCTGTTAATGTTTAAAACGTTAACCTATTCGATTTGTCGCTTTGTATTAAATCGTTTTGTATTCCGTTTTTTTTTAATGGCTTCATCGTTTTTTGCTGTTTATACATTATTTTACTGTTATGGGTTTTACTTTTTGGGTCAGCAGCCTACATATTATATTATTATATTGTATCCATATATATAATTGTATTATAGACGTTGATTTTTTTTTAAACTTTAGAGTACTTCTCGTCGCTCGCGCTATCTATAACATAGTATAAGAAATAACATATACTTAAATGTTTATTTTTCAAGAAATTTTTTTCAAAGTAATAATAATTTTGATTGACAGATTTTTATCAACAATTATTCAGTCGCCGTTGGACACATCGATTTTTCAGTGACATTATTTTTATGCACATAATTATAAAACAATAAATAATAATCCATTGCCCTAGTATTTAGTCAATTATTATACATATCTGATAATAATGTTTTACCGGAAATTGTTTTAATCGTTATTTTCAGCATGTAAACGTTGATTAGACGTCATTTTCCATTAATTTATTTTGATATTGAATGTGTATTTACATCGGCTAGGTCTGCCGTTTGTATATTACGCATACCGTTCACAGGAAATTACCAATAAAACATTCAACCGTTGGACGTACTTCACATTAGATAACGTTTTCTAAGAAAATGCCTATCTAAGTATTGAATAATTAAAAAAAAAAAATTCAGTACAGTGAGGTCGGAGCGTAGTGGGTACGGGGAGATCATAAGTCTGCATGAATTAATATAACTAAATCTTTAGTCTTAGGGTATTTCTGTACTGTACAAAAACTATAACGATACATTTTCTTAAATTAAATACAGAATTTTTCACAGACTGTTGCAATGTAAACAAATACCGTTATCATAAAATTTGAAGATTTATAATCATAAGAACTACATGGTTTGTTGTGGATACGATTAAGGTTAATTGTATACCCATTCTATAAGCATTTAACCCTATAACCGTGTCTACCATGATATGATAACTTTTTTCCTGTGGACCAGTTTACTAAGTTGAGAGGTCACTCAACAAAAAAAAGTTCACTCCTCACCTTTCCAAATCGAGAAAAACAAAAAAAAATGTACATATTTTCCAACTCAAAATTACGTCGCTCTTTAACTATTAAAAAAATAGTTAAACATGTGTAAGGAATAATTTATAGATACAGTACTACCGATAAACATTGGCAAACCAAAAAAATATCATAAACCCCATTCCCTTAGACCTAAAGTCTGAAAATAAATACTAAAACAACATCTGCTGTAACCATATTACAATAACAAATTCTTCAGAAATCGTAAGCACTTTTTTGAACAGCTATGGCATGTATCGAAAAAAACATATTAACGAACAAATAAAAATCTGAATATTTTACTTTAAAACGTATATACCTTCTGAACTAAGCAATAATCCAATACAAAAAAAAAACAAAATGTGTTTTTATGATTCACATCCAAAATATAAAAAGCGAGTACAGTGTGATTAGAGCAAAGGGGGGACGCACAATAGTCTAGACTCTAGAAAACAAAAAAAGCGATCAAAAATACCACTTGAATGTTTGGTTAAAAAACATAAAAATAGTTTATACGTTTTTGGGATCGCTGAAATCGAATTTGAAGTCCATTTTTAAGTTAACCAATAATTGGTTTCTTCTTCTTCTTCTTGGCTTTATGACTCTCCAAGAGTCTTCGTCGCCACCGTCAAAGCGTTCCATCTTTCCCTATCCTGGATTATATCCTTCCAATCTTCTACGTCCAGTGTTCTTAAATCCTTACTTACTCCGTCTAACCATCGCTTCTATGGTCTACCGCTCGGTCCTTTCCCACTTGGTTGGTACTCTATGGCTGCCCTCACCGCCTTTGATTCATCCCAATAATTGGTTATTTAAAGTTATTTTATTAGAATATTAACAATAAAACGAATTAAATTAAATTTAGGTAAATCCAATTTAAATAAAATAGTTTCAATAATTTATTAACTTTAAATTCATATTTTTATTTGTTGATTAGGCAAGATATAATTAATCTGATAGGAATAATGTCTAAAGCCAGTTTCGATCTTAATATTTACTGAAACATAGTCATAATGTTACACGATTGTGACTTCAGCAATATAATGTTTCACTACAACAGCCGGGATTTTTAGCGGCGACCCATACTATCAACCCCGAATGCATGGCTGAAATGCCATGCACCCGGCGACCAAATTGGCATAAAGTTAGCCATATAGCCACTCCCGGTCAATACGCCATACGCATTTATTTATTTATTTTACTAAAACAGCAAAATAGGCATTATTTTGTAAATATTTGAATAAAACTAAATAATTTTCCAAAAAAATAAAACGCCTAAAGGCATGTTAAGCACTTACATATTACCGTAGTGTGCGATGTATTAAAGCTAACATACCTATTGTAAATTTGTTTAACGGCTATATATTGCTACTGTTTGGTTAATAAATGACGACTCGCGCCAATACAATTTTTTTCGTACATTAAAGCATTACGGCAACGCATGTCAACGCGTATAACGCTAAATTTGTTCAGCGTCATAGCATTCAAACTTTTGTAGAGTTCGATTAAAGTTGAAACTTCCAAATTCGAAAACGGATCAGTTTTTCGCCGCAGCACAAAAATGTACGCTGTCGTATGTCGGTCAATTGTCACACTTTGCGTTTGTTGGCATTCGGTTAACGGGCAGCCACCAATTACTAAACCCACGGTATCGCTTTTTGCAGCAGCACCTTCCGGACTACACGACTTTTCCAAACTAGGTCTTCAATCGTCATCGGCTAGACCAAACGTGATTGCCATACCTAGTCGAACAGGTTACGGTAGAATGGCAATAAACAACGAAATTGGAAACAAATGTAAAAATGTAATAACCAAACTGAACGCCAAAACATCAATATTAGAACTCGTTGAGCCGGACGAAAGTGAGTATGAGAATATGGACATTGTGGAGTTTCGCGAAAACCTTTTCAGTATTCTCAAACGACATTTAATTGACTGTTTACGAATGGACAATACCAATAAAACGTATACACTATCGAAATTCGTCGACTTGATATCGATCAAACAAAATTTACTGAACAATTCCGTTGCTCTGTTGCTCCAACATAAACTCGACATTAAACCGTTGATGAGGCTGTATTTATTTTTTTGCGGTCCGATTCAAGCACCGAACGACAGTGCCAAGTATGGGCCGCGCAACGCCGTTGGACAATTCGTTATTAGTCACGTTCAAAATGACATGATGAACAAGTTCAAAGACATCATAGGCGATGCACCCCTTCCGGATGGGCTGAGCGTTATTCAATCGGAAACATTAAAGGAAAACACACGGCTGGAACTTTGGGGCCTGGCGACCGTCGCCATTTCCAAAATGGAGCCAAACGGTGGTCCGTTGATGCGCGGCACTCCACTTCATTTTACATGCATCGACATACTGAAATGGACGGCGTTGATGGAATCCGACAACGAAGATGCCGTGAGAATCCAACGAGTGATAATTACAGTCGAAGGCACAGCTATTACATTACGACAGTACGCTGAGAGATATAGATACGAAATAGATATCGACAATCTGGAAGGGCTTAACTACGAGGTGTTATTACGTCTTAACAAAGTATTATTGTATTACGTGTACACGCATTTTGGTTTATCCACGATCTTGATCTATACGCGACTTTCAAAACTAAATCTGAATAGCACGGACTTCGTGAAACCATCTCATGATGGCAGCGTTGTTGGGCCTTCGAGGCCCGTTAAGCTACAGGAAAAAAGAAACAAGAACTTCGTAATATCATTTTTGATAGAACAAATTGGAGGCCTACGGGCGTTCTTGGAAATTTTTAATCTATTTTTTATTCCTCGCTTTTTGAAGTACGTGTATCGACCGACGGTACAATCAAAGTTAACGGCCTTGATAAGTTATATGGATCGGTTCAGCGACAGCCCAGAGGATACAGCACTAGAAATGCAACAAAGTCCTGAAAAAATAGTAATCAATATAAAACATTTAGTAACCGATTTTGCTCTGGCCCTTTTGCCAGTCCTTAAGGTGGACGAACCGGAAAAATGGATTGATTATGTCAACGAAATCGTTGCAGGAAAGTCGGCCGATATCAGTTCAGCCATGGTAGAAAATCAAGAAAACGCACTATCAATTATGGTGGTAAGCTTGACGCAGTTAAATCCCGATTGGCCAGATTTCAAGAATCGGAACCCGATTGAATTTTTGAGGGCTACCAAAGATAGTTAAGATAATTAACAATTATTTAATCAGTAATTAATTTGTAGTAAATATAATATCAAAACTAATATTATGTAGATTTTTAAATTCTTATAATTTTAATACTTTAATAGTTGCTACAATTGTGTACGTAGCAAACATTTTAGAAGCCAGTAATAAAGTTTTGAGATCAACTCGATTACTAAAACGTGACCGTTTGTTTTTATGCCCAAATTTGTCCATCTTATAATAATGACATTTATTTACTACTGCAGTTTGTATTGCTAAAGGTACGATATTCAATGAAAATTTAAATTAATGCCCGAGACACTTGGAATGTTTGTAGTTAATCAAGATGTATTAGTAGATAGTAACAACTGGTTATGCTTGGAGAGGAAGTGGTAAATAATATAGAGAAGCATACGTTTTTTTTTTTTTTTGAAAACACAATCCGGTCGAGTATAATAATAATAATATAATAATTGTTATTTTTAGCATCATGATACAATATTATGTAAATGTAACGAATGCGTGCGAATTTTCTTGTGGTTTCAGTGGTTCGACTTAAAAATGTTAAACGGGTTTAAATTGAGTCGCGATTTGCATTATGGATGTTTATGTAAATTCATGGTCGTGCAGCGAAGGGTGCGGTATACAGTAAGTCTCGGCAATAGTAGTGAAGCGTATGAGGAGTAAATGGAAGTCCATATTTAATGTTGGAAAGAGGGCAAAGGTATATACTTTAAGGATATCGGATCGTGTGGCTGACGCCGAGAGATAAAATGCGATGGCAACCAAATGAACAGCGATGAGAGACGGTATTATACTAAAAGCCGTGCAATTGTATATATTATGTATATCCATATATGAATATTAATTTCGGTTAAATTATTAAAATAATGTCGCTCGATCGGTCCGAGTGTAAACCGTATTAAAGGGTTGACAGTGGAAAAAATCGTTTAGTTTTTTATTTATTTACGAGGTGTGCAGAAATGATGATTGCCGTCGACCAGACCTGTCGTTCCGAGGGGAAAGGATAGGGGTAGGACGTGTCCCTTTTTTCAACTCGGTAGTTGACAAAAAAAAACCGTCTCCTTAACGAAGCCAATCGACAAGTTATAATCTGATATAGTTTAACATTCGACGTACAAAGTATGGTCATTTTTTGCCTTTATTTCGAAGCCAAAGCGACGTCGACCTTCTGTTTTGCCATCTCGTTATTATCCAGATATGATAATTTTCGATAAAATCTAACACATTTTTGTTTAAAACTGTCACTCGATGACAGTTAAACGCAAGCATAGATTTTTCCGGCCCCGCAGAGAATAGCTTATGTTATCGACCACGTGGCTTTAGTTTTGACTTAGTCGACAGTGGCGCACATTTGAATATTGTACTTTACATTTTTGTATCATTATAATTGTGAAAGTATGTTTACATTGGATTCTGCCGTCACAAACGTTTCAATAATTAGTATTAAATATTATCACACACGCGTTTAAAAATAAGTTTCTAAATTTCTACACGGGATGAAATCTGAAACCTGAATTTTAGCTGTGAATTTACAAACGGCGACGCCCAAAACGTAGCAGCACAAATTTGTCGAGAAGAAGAAATTTATGTAACACCAACTATTTCATATACCATCTTCATAAGTATAAAAGTGCAGTGGGAGATTTTGGTTTGGCATTTGTGGCCGTACCGCTTAGTCGTTTCCAAGAGGTTTAAATTTTTTCAAAATTATTCCGTACATTATAATAAACGGTTGAGAGTGAGTTACGTACTTATACATTACTTACATACATTGTATGTGTCTGACATTAATATTGTGCTGTGTCGTAAAGAAACCTGTTTTGTATTGGCCAAAACGAAGGACACAGCACAGCATTAATTTCAAGTGTAAAACTAGTTAATTCTTAAATATTGTCCATTTTTTTTTTTGCGTAGTTGTAAGTTTTCAAATGCTGGTAATAAATCATTGATTATAAATAATTATAATAATAATTTATTATTAATTGTATTTATAATCGATAGTAAACAATACCACACACCGTATGTCGTCGGTTTTTGACGATATCTCATAATAGCTCCTCATATATCTTAAATATATTTATTGTTTAAAATTCACTTTTTTCTGTTATACAAAACTATTAATAAAAACTTAATTAATTACGATTGCTATTTTATAAAAAATCGATGATGTACGTCGTATAATTTTGTTTTTTATGTTTTATGAGAATTTTATTTCTCTACTACCATTGCAGACAAAATGTTATGGTTTATAGCTGGGTAGTTTAAGTAAACTGAACTCATAATGGCCATTTCGTTAGTATACTGTTAAAAGTACACTAAAGTTTTGTTTTTAAATTAGGATATTTTTGAACAAATTTTCCGTACCGAACCGTTTAATTAATCGAAAATATAGCAGGTCCTCTTGAGAACGGTCGTTGTTGTTTCTTTTTAGCTGGTGTGTCTCTCTCTTAACCGTTGTAGGCATCAGTGGAATTTTTTTTTTTAAGTGGTCAATGATTTAAATAAACGTTTTTTTAACAGTTCGGGTTTAAAATAATCGTGGGAAAGTTCACAGCGCCATTGTACGTTGTCGGTGGCGCAATGACGACCGTCCTGTGCTTGACGGCGTGCGTACTGCGGTTGGTTTTTGCGGCCGGCGCGAGTTCCTCGGGGATGACGGAAGAAGGCCAGCCGTTGCCCGCTGAACACGACGTGTTCGCCGTGTGCCAGTTCACGGTCAAGGAGTCGTGTTCGTCGGACATGGCCGTGTTGAGTGCGTTGAAAGACGTGCCGGACGGGTTTATGGCGCGGGCCAATGCCGCACTCAACACCACTTGGTCGATAACAGACCGCACGGACATCAGGCCCACGAGTAGGGCCGTGTTGGTTGTGGCCGAAGGCGTAGACCAAGTGATCTGGCTATTGGAAAACGCGCCGAACGTGTGGGATCCGCTGGCGTACTACGTGTGGTTGATGCCGGCGGCCGATGCGACGGAGGCTAGACGGTTGTTCCGGTTGGCGTGGGTTCAACAGTCGGTGATCAACGCCGTGCTGTTGGCACGACGCGCCGTGTATACTTATAACCCGTTCGCGAAAACGCTCAGCCAGTATGGCACGGTCGACCTTGACGTGCTGCAGAAGGACGCCCGCGGTAAAACCACCGACCTGCACGGCTATCCGGTAAGGGTGTGCATGTTCCCTACCAGGCTAAAGGCGGTCAAACAACCGGACGGAACGTACAAAGGCACGGACGGATTGATTCTGTCAGCGCTCGCTCAGCACATGAACTTCACTCCGGTCATATCTGAGCCCGGCGACGGCAAAAAGTACGGTTGGATGGAGGCCAACAACACGTTCACCGGCGCGTTGGCCGACATAGTGTACAACAACGCAGACGTGGCCTTCAACGGAGTGTTCCTAAGGGTATATCTAACCTAAGTTTCATTTTAATAATATTATTATTATTTTATATTTTATATTTTAAATTCAAACAAAATGCACACTAACACATTTTTGTACATAGTTAAACATTGATCGTTCACGCTATGTAAGATTATAGCTTCTGGTGGAAGTGTAAGTACTTAAATAATATGGATTTTGGAGTAAAATGTATTGAAAATAATTACTACAATATTAGTTAAAGATAACTAGTGTTACAATATTTCTTGTTTGAATAACATTATTTTCAATAAATAATTTAAATTCGTAAAAATTAATAAACCTAGGTATAGGATTAAAAAATCGATTACTTTTTCTACTTAAAGTATGACCGTCATCATGAAAACATATTATTTTAACTTCAATTCATGTGTTAAATATAATAATCATGCACAAAATTGGAAAAGACAATTTAACAGAACTTGCGGAGTATATAATATAGTTAAGGAATAAAATATTATTGAAATATACCCTTTACATCTACACAAATGATCATCAGTGCTCACGAAAGACTGAGAAAAGTTACGTGCAAAAAACATCCTCCTTCTATACCTGTACAGTAAACAGCGGCGCTTATCTTCTACATCATACCAGAAGTGATGACTCATGGGCAACACGTGTTTTACTTATCTTAGTAAAATATTTTTTAATGGACCAAATAAAAAAAAATTGTTTTTATCTGTTTAACGTTTCTTTTGGTTATCCTATGTGCTATTAAGGTGCTTGGAGTCGTTTACGTTTTTAAGTAATTTTACTGTTTTTATGCTACTGTGCTACATTGTTTGATACATGTTTCGCAACAGGATTTGTGTGCACTTATTGATTTTTATGTTTCTTACATAACTAGTTTTGTTTTTCAAATTAATAACAGCTATTGAACGCATATGTTCCGATTATAGGATTACGGAGCCAACGGTATAATCGAGCATTCTACGGCCGTGCAGTTCGACGAGTTATGTTTTGTAGTTCCCAAGGCGCGTCAGATGAGTCAGTGGAGGGCAGTTTTCACGGCTTTCGACGCCCAGCTCTGGTGCTTGGTGGCCGGCACTTACGGATTGGCGTTGGCCGCCTGGACTCTCATCAAAAGGACCACCCGTACGCCTTACTCGGCGGTCGAGTTGGCCGTCAATCTGTTCCAGGTGTTCCTGATGGTGCCTTTGCACAAAGTACCCAACAACATTCCCGAGCGCTTGATGATCGTGTCGGCCGTGTTGTTCGGGTTCATAACGTCGTCGAGCCTGCAAGCGGTCATGGTGAAATACCTTAGCTATCCAAAGTACGAGAGAGACGTGACTACCATGCAGGAACTGTACGACACCGGACTTCCGGTCCTATCGGCGTCCACCAATTTGATGGAGCTCTTCCAGACGGACGACAACCCGTTGCACGCCAAGATGTCCGAACGGTTCATCATCGTTGTGAACAAATCGTTGGACATACTGGGAGAGGTTGTGAGCAAAAAGGTAACGCTTCAAATGAAGTGAAATTTCATAAAAAAAAAATATTCCACTCTATTTTTCAATGTTGTAAGCTAACTAATAATTCGGTAATTGTGGTACTTTTTTATGCGCTATTCGCTCACAGTCATCGGCGGCGATAGGTCGCAAGAACGATCTGGTCGAGAAAATAGCCGGATACGTCAAGAACAACGAAGCTCTGCTGTATATCGTCGACGAATGTCCCAGGTCGTTCCACATAGCGTACTTGATCCGTCGCCAAGCCGCTTATCGTCCAGCCATCGACAGGATGATAACGAAATTCGTCGAAAGCGGCATCGTCAACAGTTGGTTCATGCACGCCAAAGCGTTTCAGCCCATTTTGGAGTACCACCAACGGATGGACACCCAAAAAGTGTTCACCATGGATAACGTCATAATTGCATTTCACTGTCTGTTGGTCGGTTTGACGGCAAGTGCCATAGCGTTTGTCGTAGAACGGGTGTACTTTTACAGGGTAAACGGTTCGGCGAGTGCAGTAGTTAAGTCCATCACGACCACCGCCGGTCGATACCCAAGACGGTCGTTAAGGTCAAAAAAGTTTTGAGTACAGAGTTTATATGTCATAGACTGTTTGTCAGTATCCTCATCACCGGAAACACCTATAAGATTAGGTTAGGCACAGGTTAGGTAATTTTTCCAATAATGGAACTCTATGGAGTGTAATCGGTTCGACTAGGATTCGTCTTTAGGTATTTCGTTTAATAGAAGCCCTCGCGTTGTCCCAATAATTAAACCACGAGATGCTTGTACAAAAATACAAAATTTACCTAATGCACTTCATTAAAGGGGCACTGGATCAGGCAACTTGTAGGAGGATCTTTGGGCCTATTTAGGTTGTCCTTCGAGACAAGACCGATTTGTTATTCTTCCAAAAAGACTTCTTAGGGATATAAACTCGGAAAAAATATAGCTAATTTATAATTGTAGCTAAGTTTAAAGCAATAGATGGATGTTGTAGGAAACGTCTATAATTTTTTATTTGAGTAAAATATAAAACATTATACTTAATTTTTAGGCTAATGACTACGACTACTATATTTATGTTTATTTTAATAGAAATTTAAAAAAAATTAATGTGTACTATAAAACATAAAACACAATTTTTGATTACAAGGAACTATGAGTATAGTTTTACTTCCTAAAAGACAGGAATTCTCCTAGTTTATAAGCAAGTTAATTTTTTTAATTTTTTCTTATATACAAGTGCAGAAACGGTGTCTGTTAAATTATTATTATTTTTGTATTTCACTTAAAATTTACATGATTTTTGTTGGAATTTTAACCATGAATGTAAACCAATAAATTTCCTTATGATTTTAGTACACATATTCAAATACATGTATTATGATGATTAGGATTTTGAGGTTGTAAATTAAAATAATAAGATGATTTTTCTAATACTGATAGAGATTTCATTTATTAAAAGTCCTTCATTATGAAATATAAATAAAATCTTATGTAAATATATATATATTTAATTTGTTCATTAAAATAAATCAAACAACATTGCGAAAACTAAAACTGTTTACTAACATAATAGTAAAGTTATTTTATAAACAATTCACAATTTAGGATCGAAATTAAAATGGTTTTTCTAAATTAAACCAATATAATTAAATATAATGTTATTATCATCGTCCCGGCAGAATGGTCTTTTTTTCTCTTGAATCACCTCCGATATTATAAATTAAAAATCGGTGAAGTTGACAGTTTTTGTTGCGGTTTTTTGTTATCAAATTAGCCATTTTTTTTATAATTATTCATACTTTTTTCTCGCTAATGCTCGTTTTCTCATCAATTGGAAAAAAAAAGGAATATATTAAAAAATAAAATCGTACGTTTCAGTTATTTATTAATTATTATATATTTATTGTCTATCGCGTACTTAATCGGAAAACATTTTTTGAGTTGAAAATCGCAAATACAAATATAATAATTGTATGCCCAGTAAATATATGATTTATTGTAAATTTAAAAATTATAATCTAAGTGTGAAATAACGTATATGAATATTATTATCAAAACAAAATTACAATATAAATTAACATTTCCATTTGGTTACTTTTTGTCTGTATAGGTTGCCCGTTGTTCTATCATATTATATACAAATTGTATGTAATAGATTATTTAGAATTGGTATATTAATTTTGTTTACGGTGCGGAATACCATTATTTTAGGTCTTATTTATCTAATAAATTAGTACATGATCTAATTTATAGGTACGAGTTACCATGGCGACCCGTTAACTTATTCAGACCGCATCCGGCATTCTTGTAACATCATCGAGTTCTCAGCATTTATACCGTACCACGTTCTATATACAACTTTTTTATTTGATCAGTCCGCAGACGAGATGAGTAGGTACATATGCTTTTGAATTTTGATAGAAAAAAAAATAAAACCCAGCATATAATAATATATTATAAATGTTTTATTTACAAGAGCATTTTTAATCAAAGGTCGAGTGTACGCCGAATTTTAGGCTGACAAAAAAAAACTACTACCGTTCATGTCGACGATAATGACGTGCCAAACTATATTATACCTCAGATTTTAAGAATGTTTCTTTGAAATATTCTTAAATATTTATTTTATATATTGAAAATTACTATTTAAAATAACTCAGACAAATTAAAATTATTTTTTCCGTCGAACATGAATGTATTATTTTTATTTCCAAATTTCTGCCAACGCGATATTTCTTTGCAAATATTTTCCATGAAAAAAATGTTCGCTCTATTCGCTCAAAAACACAGTGTGATCAAAGTTATAGTGGAAACGAAGCAACAAAAAAAAATAGTATAGAAGCAAAACGACGGCACGGTCGAGTACAGTTACTATCAAAAAGCAAAACATACAAAATTACCTTATTTTTGTGTGTGCTTACTCGTTTTACCCAAACGCGTATTTCATATTTCAGTTTTTATAATGTATTTTGATTTCCGTCCTTAAACTGCATATTCGATTGGTTTCATTGTTGAACTCAACCGACGTTCAATTGTATTAAGTGGCCTATTTATACCTACTATCTACTTCTTTATAGGAATTTTGTTTGGAAAATCTTAATTTAAAGCTTAACTGTAACGTGTAATTAATCTTTAGTTCAGTAATCAAATATTTTTTCAGGCATCCTTGCAAGTGATTTTAAATATTTTATTTTTCATCTAAACATAGTTAGGTCAAATGAGTTTTACTTGGTCCATGGTGGTTTTAGACTAAAATCATCTATTATAAAATCAAATGACGATAGCATACTATTGGAGACAATAATATATCCATTTTTAATATGTTCATTATTTAGCTCGCTACTGCACGCTAAAAAAGGTATTTTTTACTTTTTAAAAGAGTGATAACTTTTTATTAAGAAATATTAAAAAAAAAATGTCAAATTGTCTCCAAAATGTTTTTATATTTGCATTATAATGTATTATGCATATTTCAGCTTAATGAAAAAAGTTATTTCGTGTCCTGATAAATATACCTACCCGCACAAAAAATATATAATATTTTAAAAATATATTTTATTATATTGTAAAAAAGTAATCATACTTTGGCAGAATACCAAATATTATAATATTATTTTTACAATACTAAACAGTTGTTAATAATTCTTATAAAATATGTAGTTATGTATTTTCAAAACATATTTTTTTCTGTGTGGTTATTATTGTAAATGTGTTTCTAGAGACTCTTGTGTGTAAACCTGTGGCTTACATTTTTTTCCCTCGACACCATATTATACTTATCGCACTACTACTTGCCAATGGCAAAAAGTAAAAATCCAACAGAATTAATCCATCCCAAGCAAAAGTGTTGCGCACAGAAATCCTGAAAAGGAATACAAGCACTCGCTGGACATTTTAATTAATACGTTCAGTGTCCAACGGCGGCAGAACAACCACCGGCCGTGTGTTGTCATTAATCAAGACCACAGTTAAATTGCTGTAATGACGTTTCCTCTTAATATATAAGTTCAGTTGTGACGTTAAGTAATTATTATTTTATATATGACAGCGACGGTGGTGGTACCTACCATACTATTGTCACCGTATGGCGCTGAAAAGCTTGTTTCTCCAACTCCAGACAATGCGTTTTAGATGTATCACACAACTACATAATAATAATATTATATTATATCTCTTCTTTGCTCGGTCTCTGTTCTTTACATTTTAGCTGTTGCCTACCTACTCGTGTGACGTGTGACACATGTATAAAACTGTTTTCCCCTTCAAACCCACAAAACGTACACATACATTATATTATATACTGAACCAAAACCCCCCTATATATCCAATAAAATGTCCATTGATATAAAAAATATATACCTATCCTACTGCATTAAAAAAAATTATTGTTAACATTAAACACTCCTCTATCGATATAAATTGTAACAAGTTACAATGCATATCTGTTTAAAAACGATAAATTTGTTTGCTTTTTCAGTATGAAAAAATATAATTAGAATCGTGTATTTCTCAAACGCTTTTTCGACACCTTATTTCGGGACCAACTTTTGTTTGTCGCTTAACGACAACTCGGAATAAACTGAACAAAATACTTTGATTTTAAGTTGTATGATTTCTACGGATGAAATCAAACGGAAATGAATACCGGATATTATAAGCGCTTGAGAATTTTTTTTCAACAGCACTCTTAAAATGTAAATACATATATATTTTATTGCGGAAATTGTAATACTTAATCACCATAAATGGTTGGGAGGGGGGGTTAGGGGGGTAAAGACATTTGTCGAATAAGCTTTTGCCGCAGCTTTCCCCAATGGTACTATATAAACATTTGTGCAATGTTCACTGACCTAAAAAATAAAGGTCCACGACATTTTTAAAGTAATTTCCTCTATATATTTTGTTCAGTTTAGCTAGGTAGAGAAAAAAATGTGACAAAGTACAATGAATAAAACACAACAGAGAACGTGAAAATAAAATATATTATGTCGAGTCAATCATTACAATAATCGTTTCGACTGCATTTGTTTTATTAATGGTGTGTTTGTAAATTATGGTTATTTGTAATTTACTCAAAAAAATACTGTTGTAATAATATTATTGTAATAATAATAGATCATCGCTGAGTACTGACTTATGGTCGGCCTCGGTTGTACGCGCAAGTCGTGTCAATTTAATTGACCCTTGCATTAATTTGCTGTAAGCAATGGGACTTAGCGTCCAATGAACATTACATAGTACGTAATATAATGGACGAATTATTTAATATAACACTCATATTGCTTAATAATTACATATTAGCATACAACGTTGCATCCTAACTGTAAAAAAGTATTTATGTTTTAAAATTATTGTCGAAAAGTTTAATCATATTATAAAATCATGTTTTGGCAAGAGATTAAATGTTTAAAGCACAAATTTAAGCAAAATGTTCTTAAAACACAGAACATAATATCACGGTATACCTATTTAAAACAAAACTACAACGATGGAAAAATGTTGACAATACTTGAACAACGTTTTATAAATAAAATTGATATAATCAAATTAATCTCCTGCCAGAACACGTTTTTAAATTATTAATAAACTATTTGACTACATTTTGAAAAAATATTGTTATTTTTTTGCTGTATGCAATTTTAGATATCAAACTTATTTTAATGTGTTGTTTATCTTATTTTTTTTGTTGTATCAAAGGGTAATTTTTCAAAAATTTAAAAATAAGTTGCTCAAGATTGCGGCTAACATATATTAATAATGAGTTCATCATACACCATTTATTTCGAAAAATTCAATTAAAGTAGTATATTATTTTATTATTTTTACCATGCGATGAAAGCTGGATTTTGTATAAAATCGTGTTTTATGCAAAATCTTGCGACTTAAAGCATATAAGATTTATAATCGCGTGCACGTCGTTTACTTTCATAAATAAACAATTAA